AAATTTCCATATTTTGATATTATGCCTGAAAAAGTAAATTTATTATATCCAACAAGAAATTTGAAAAGTAATTTTTAAACACAATTTGACCAATTTTTCCTGCACAGCGATTGAAATTTAGCTTTATTTTGTTCTTTTTTTTTCAATAAGAAATCAATTATATTTAACAGAAAAAATTTATTGTTATGCAAAAGCAAATGCAACGGAAAAGTTGTTCAAAATTAAGATTAAAGAATTGTAACGGTGCTTTGGTAAAATTTTCGACTGCTTCGTACGGGAGGCGACTACCGGTAATGCCCGATTGCTCCGAATATAGCACAAAAAGTACTATGTGTGTAGTCCGATCGGATTCCTTTATTCTTCTCACACTTTAAATCTGGTATCATTGGGTTGTTGTATAGCAAGATAATAACAACATTGTGATAAGTGGGTGGGAGGACCCACGACTCGTACATTGTCCAAACATTGATGTACCATGACGACGCAAAAAAAGTAAACTTAACTGGCCAGTACTTTGAGTGTGAAATTACAGGTGCAGAGAACAAAGGGAGACATATTCGGAATACCCCCGTCTTTTTATTTCTTCAATGGGATTAAATTTCAAGTCTTGAAATTCTTATGGTAATCAACATGAAAAATACCTTCATATAATGTAGTTTTATGTAATGCGTGCTAATTGTGACGGATAGATTTTTTATTTCTAGTTAAGTTGTGTAAAGAAAAGTGTCAAATACCCGAAGTAAAAAAGAGCTTAAGAATTACCATATGTATGTGTTCTTCTGTGGGGTAGATCCGTAGGTAAGGTCGCGAACGTTGACGTATTGTTTGGCGTTTTACGAGTCGTTTGAACCTCCTCAGATGGAATTCAAGATGTGAGCACAAGATAACAAAATTAGGTAAAACTATTTTGTATTAATGCATACAATATGATAAAAAGACATTAAATGTTACCATTAATGTCTGAAGATATCCAAAAGCGGTCCTTCTCTAAGTGTATGGTGACGTAAAAGTACACCACCTGCAGAGTCCAGGACAAACCCTTAATTGTTACTGCGCATGACCATACGCACAGATGCACAATGATCCGTGCACTACTTCTGAATTATCTCCCTTATGAACCACATTGTGAACTTTCCTTAATTACGAAGAAAGATTTAAAACAGAGAATTTACAAACACATGAATCTCACGTAAGATTGACCTTGAAAACCTATTAAAAGTTATTTTGCTGCCGCGAAATTTTTGTGAACGAAAAAGCAACCACCACCTCCACAACATCCCCCACACTTTTTTTAATTAACCACATAATTTTTATTTGTGTGTCCGGAGGCGCTTTTTATGCACCACTTTTGTTTCCAATAAAGTTTGATGTTGTATTTTAACGCATTATCACATCTGTACGTTGTAACAATATTGTGGCTGGGAGACCACTGTTTTGTAATCATTTATTGAACTGCATTTCTGGTCAAGCTTTCCATGATTCTGGTATGTCTCCCAGCAAAATTCTTTGGTAATTGTTTTTTCTAAATGGACTTCATTTTCGTCAAAATAAATGACAAGATTTTTACACTTAACGTGTCTTCTGTTATGAATTTTGGAAACAAACAGAGCTGCTATGTTGCCTTGGTCTGCCAGTGAAGTTTTCAATTTTTAAACCGAAAAAGCTACTGACAAATAAGTTAATGTAACAAGGATTTCAACGTCTCCATATATATTTACCTATGGGTTGTATTTTGCCTGACATGTATTATTAATTATACACATGTACCATTCGAATTCTTAGGGTCCTTGATTGCTTTCATGCTAAATACTACGGAGTACTATGTAAACTTAATCAATACACAGGGCCCACGGCGGGTATTACCGGATAACAGGGTATTCTTACTTATCGTAGACAGTGATCCTACTTCTGTGTATACTGGATTTATGAAATTGATCACTGGTTTGTACATTTCCAAAAAACTCCTGTCTATCAAAATTGAGACGATAAATATATGATTGCTATATGAGTCGTTTACAAGGTAAAAATTAATAGAAACCATTTGTTCCATACTATCAGATTGCTACCTTTACTGTAGCCTAATACTTGAGTTTTATTCAGAACTGAACATTGCAACAGATGCAAGAGCGATAACTCAATCTCCAATAAACCCCATCCATGGTATAATAAAATATATCCCCAAAGCCTTTGTTATGTAAACCTGTCCGAAGAGCCTTCCCAAACTGATAAAGAAAGAATTATGATAACGTTCGGCATTCTTTTAGACTGAATGATTTCACATTCAAATCCGACCTCAAAACAGCTTCCAAAAACTCTAACCTGGTACCTTTTTTAACAAGCTAATTCAGAGAATTCGTGTCCCCCGCTTAGGGAAAAAGTCGGCTCCCCCTGACTGAATTTGTAGAATTATTAAATGTATACATGTATACTGAAGGAAATAAAATACATGTATGTCAATATGCATATAAAGATTTGATTGCTTATTCTTTAGTATGTGTATAGAAGATTTTTTTATATGGAATATTTATCACACTGTAATGATGATTTTATAACCTCATGAATTTTTCATTTCGCATGCTGAATACTATCATTTAGTAAAAAAAAAGGATTTAAAAAAAAAAGAAAGGTCCGTCCCGAGATTCGATCCCGGGACCTCTCACAGTCAAAGCGAGAGACATAACCACTAGACCACGGAATCGCTTCACGCGATGAGAAGTATATGCAGAACTGAAGTCACATACATGTATATATTCATGTTTTCATGTTCGGTATTCTCAAAATTTTACACAATCCATGGTGTTTGATTTATTTAGCCTTTATTAAACAGTTCTAATAGATGTAATAAGAACATAAAGTCCGCCGAGAACCTGTTTTATACGCAATAACTCTCCTCATGCCCCTGCGCTAATAATAGCGACATGTAATACTATAAATACTAATAAAAAAAACCGGGGCGGGGCACTTTGAGAGGGGCGAGAGACGTTTTAGGGAGTTTTGGTATAAAATTACATTGCATAAGCTCAAAATCTTCTTGAAATATCGCCCGGAAATGATAGTGTTACACACAGACAGAATGTCAAACTCCTTTTGACCTCAAAATCAATAGGGGTCTTCTTTAGGCCACAGGGAGTTGTTATGTAAAATTTCTTTGCAATAGCTCAAATGGTTCTACCTTTGCTTATTTATGACCTTGACCTTTGTTTTGACCTCAAAATCAATAGGGGTCCTATTTTTAAAAAGTAAAGGTCATACGTGCAATCAACATTCAAAGCAAGTCCAGTGCATTTTCATACTGCTGTTACATGTATCTCCGTATATTTCATTGCTAAATGTTACTACTTTGATTCTACTTTGGTTTAAAAATGAATAGAATCTTTTGGATGTCAGTCAAATATAATAAAAAGTTCAGATGACCAAAGAAAAAATTCCAAATAAAATGCACCAGAAAACTACATATTTTTTTTTTACAAGTGTGTTAATCTTATCCCGCATCATAAACTATTTTCAATACATTCTGAAGATTTTATAACCATCGAAATCGTGGGAACGGATGTTGTCCACCGAAAAAAAATCCTCGCCATTACCCTCTCTATCTATTTTCTTATGTCACATCACCAGTATCGTGTCCTTTGCTACCGTCCATTGTGTTTATATTTGCCAAATTAGCGTCAAGTGATATTTGTTATACCCCTGTGTTCTCACTTCACAGTAGGTGTTTTTATTTTCGAAAGAAAAGATTATCAGTGGATTTGGGGTCGTTACTCCGGATTTTTCTACACTTTATAAAAACTTTAATGAGCATCCTTTGATAATCCATGGAAGAGATACAAGAGTAGGATTAACTCGCAGAATTGGAGTGACAAGAACGGGAGAAAGGACCGCCATATTATTACTTTACTAACAACCTGTCAACGTGGCGCTAATCTTAATCTTTCATTTCTCTACAATTAGTTGGTTTCGGTTTACACTTTAAACTTAAAAAGTCACAAGACACGTGATAACGATGGAATTTTAAGATGACCACACATCAAAATGCAACAAAATATTTAGAAAATATATTTCATCAATAAAATGAAAGGGATTCATTATAATATACGTATCAGATTTTTTAAAGTCCAGGGTTCAGGTCAAAATCAATGATATAAAATGAAAAGTCTTGAATTTAAAACAAGAGGCCCAGGAGCCACATCGCTCACCTGAGCACATCGGCTAGGAAAAAGCACAGATCAGGTCAGAACTGAAAAGTTTACTGAAGGGGTTTACTAAAGATGACTAAAGATGGATTTTTCCTTTATTTTTCTATGTAAAACTTTGATCAACGTTTGTGGCCCCACTCTATCCCTGAGGAGGGAAGGGGGTTTATGATTTGAACAAACTAAAATCTACACTAAGGAGGATGATTCCTTATAAATATCACTAATCATAGCTTTGAAGTACTTGAGAAGAAGATTTAAAAAGATTTGCCTATATATTCCTATGTAAAACTTTCATCCGCCGTTATGGCCCCGTCCTACCCCCGGGGGTCATGATTTGAACAAACTTGAATCTACACTACCTGAGGATGATTCCACATGAGTTTCAATTTTCCTGGCCCAGTGGTTATTGAGAAGATTTTTACAGATTTTTCCTATATACTCCTATGTAAAACTTTGATCGGCCATTGTGGCCCCGACCTACCCCCGGGGGTCATGATTTGAACAAACTTGAATCTAATTAAACTACCTGAAGTGAATCCACATGAGTTTCATCTTTCCTGGCCCAGTGGTTCTTGAGAAGAAGATTTTAAAAATTGCATTTATTTTTCACTATTTCAAAATTATCTCCCCTTGGAAGAGGGCGTGGCCCTTCATTTGAATAAACTTCAATCCCCTTTACCCAAGGATACTTTATAGCAAGTTTGGTTGAAATTGGCCTAGTGGTTCTTGAGAAGAAGATGAAAATGTGAAAAGTTTATGACGACAACAACAACAACGACAGACAATGGACAAATTTTGATCAGAAATTAAAGATAAAATCAGGAAATTATGTTCTAGAAAATTTTACAAGAACCCTTTTTGAGCAAATAGTACAAAATTTTCTTGAAAAATATAGTGATGTTCATGTTTTAAGATCCAGCAGTGTTCATCAACATGAAATATTACATAAAAAGAAAATAAACAAACTGATGGATTTCAAAATCAACATGCATTGTTGCGACTTCAAAAATAGTGTTTTCAAATAGGAGCTGTCTGAAAATTATCATTTAAACAGAAACTCAGTCAATTGAGCATCACTAGATGAATTTATTTAGTGCCTACTAACTTTCCACAAATGCCCTATTAGACCACATTTAAAAACGATTTAAAACTTGTTCCAAATCTCCTTTATGAACACGCAGCTATTTCAATAAATTTATAACACAGAAAATATAAATATGAACACAATGAAGCAATACCCTCAAATCTGATTACAAGTAGACATTGATTAAAACATGTCTGTTACCCAATGAAAACATCTTATAACAAAATTTTTTATTTATTTTTTCACATTTAAAACGTAAACCCCAAAAAAATCATAAAAACAAAAGTTACAAGTGTTCTTTTTATCATCATTTAAAAACAATAACAATTTGGTGATCACAGTCTGTCAATTAAAACATGATTGATTGGAATTGTCTATTACCAAGTTTGGGAAAGTTCCACCACCATTTAGTACAGCAATAGTTTTTGTAAACATATAGGTGTGGATTTCAATAATTTTAAAATATTCCCATGCTTCCCCCTTCACTGGTCAAATCCCCGGGAAAATGTTAACTGACTTCAATGACAGAGTCCCTGGATTGCCCAACTCCAATCCACTTCACTGAAAAAAAACAAGACAGTAGTGTTTTACAAGATGCTATTACAAATAAACTAGAATAATATCGTCTGTTTCACAAAAATAATACTGCAAATTACAAAGACCTTAATCTTGCTTAAGGACAGATGAACAAACAAACTTTTGTCAAAAAAATTGAAAATAACAACTTGAGTCATGTTTGAATGAGTAAAATGAATAAGTTTAACCGCATAGTTTTTAAATTTTTATTCAAATTCTCACAAAAATTGGATTGGAAGTGAAAAATATTTGTATAGATTATTTAGGATGGTTTCAGAGACATAGAATTTTGAACATCATAGAAGGTTTACAATTTCTTTATACATGTGTATTCTAAAAATTTATTTATATAATACATCATTTTCAATGAAATAAGACCAAACAATACATGTATATACCAATCCAGGCATCCATTTTCTGTTTGTATCATCTGTCCTTAAATGTATAACAAGAATGTGTTAAAACTTCTTTCTGTGATGCATACAATATATTATTTTTCACAGTTTCTAAATTCTTTGACCTTGACATTGTCTACATGACCCTAGTTGAGTAGTTCAGGGTCATGCCATATCCTTTGACCATAAATAACCCTGAGGGCAAGTAATATTTGAAGTTACTAGCCGTGATAATGATGCATTTTTCCTCTCACAATTTCATTTATAAAGGAAACCCTTTCTTAATTATGCTATAGATATCTACAGGTCCTGTCTCAATGACTAAGGTATTTACCTTTTGGTCATAAGCAACTTTTATTCCTTGCATACATGTAATCTGCAAGTGTTTTTCTCCACTTGAAGTGTGGCAAACTCAAATGGTACAGTGTATATATTAATTCAACAAAGTTTGACCAAGAACAATTATTTAGTTTCAGAAATAAACTTGGACAAAATGTGTCTATAGACAGGCAGACACAGTGATTCCAATATGATGCCCTAAATTTTGTTAGTGGGGGTATAATACACTCATCAAAAGATTTCCTAACATACCTGGCACTCCGACCAACTCCTCGACCTTGTGTATGTAATTCTGGGCATTCTGAGGTAGATCTGAGAAATTTCTAGCTTCAGCTGTGGTTTGTTTCCAGCCTGGTAATGTCAGGTATTCTACCTTTACTCTGCAGAGATCCTCATCTAGAGCTATAATTACAGCAAGAAAACTTTATAATGAATGTGCAAATTAAGTGTAACAAAACAATCCATATAGGTAATACCTAATGCATGTTACTTTTAAAATATACTCAATATTTTATGCTTTTGAATACTTTTAAATGGGCAATTCATCAGCAGTACTCACTGATTTATCAATTCCTGACTGAATATCTGGCCCCGGGATCATGAAACATCTTAAGCTTAAGTCAAAATCTTTGAGTTGTACTAAATTGTTGTACAGTTGTACAGGCCAAAAGCAATCTGTTTTACAATATTGTTTTACAATAGTGTTGTTATTTGAAAAATTAAAGATTAATTCAATTAATAATAAATATTTTACAGGAGATCCAAAATCTGACTTAAGTCTAAGTCTCTTTCATGATCCTGGGCCCAGATCCTTATATTCAATCTTGAGTTAACAAACATCTGACAAATGTTCAGTGTGTCAAAATGAAAAAGGTATCTTATAAAAGAACACGTAATTTAAATATGAAAAATATAAACAATTTCTACAATGACAACTTACCTGGAAAACTGTCATAATTTTTCTCTCCATCTAGTTCATATGCTACACCTATCTTCACTTCATCAAAGTCGTCTAACACATCCAGCTTTGTTATTGCCAGACTGTGTAAATAAAAGAGGCCCATGGGCCACATCGCTCACCTGAGAAGCTTTGACCATTCTGTTCTTTAAGTTTTTGTTATACTTCCCCACCCTACCCCACTGATCATAATTTAGACATTTTTTTACCCCATGATCCTTCCATGGGCACACATGTTTCAGTTTTTTTGGCCCAGTGGTTCCTGAGATTTTCAAAGATTTTTCATATATTTCTATGTAAAACTTCTGCACACCAAATGCAACAAAGAATGCTTATATTCATAAGTGGTTCTTGAGAAGAAAATTTTCAAAGATTTTTCCTATATATTTCTATATAAAAAAATTGTTATTTTCTGTCATTATTTGAACAAGTTAGAATCAAATTGACTCAAAAGTTTAGTTTTCTGGCCCAGTGCAAAAATTTCTATATAAAACTTTGGCAATTTTGACAGCATGTTGATTTGAACAATTTAACACATTAGTTTTGCTTAGCCATAAGTTTCACTTTTCTGGCCCAGTGGTAAATTTTCAAAGATTTTTCCTATATATTTCTATGTAAAACTCATGTTTCCCCCGGGGGTCATGATTTGAACAATTTAGAATCTACACTATACCAGGATGCTTCCATATCCAGCCACCCAGTGGTTCTTGAGAAGAAGATTTTCAAAGATTTTTCTCCTTTCTATATAAAACTTTGATTCCCCATTGTGGCCCCGCCCTCACTCATGATTTGTACAATTTAGAATCTACATGCTTCCAATGTTTACTGGCAATTTCTCATTTTTTAATGACCCACTTTTTTGTCCTGATAAATGGAGGGGATATGTCCCTTCATTTTAACATATATAAGGATGCTTTGTAAAGTTTGGTAAAAATTGGCCCAGTGGAACACTCTCGAAAATGTGAAAAGTTTATCTGTGACAAAGTTATACAGGAGTTTTTGTTCTTCCAGAATTTTTTTATCTTGATTTAACAGCAATAAAACTAAAAAAAAAATTCTTTCAAATAAAAAGTTGTTTTTTTTTTTAAATTAATCAAAAGCCTGAAAAAATACACTGGCAATTTTGACAGCATGTTGGAGGAAACAACACATAGTTTTGCTTAGCAATTTCAAAAGATCTGCAAATAGGTCACTCCATACTCATGCCCAATGTTCACCAATTTCTCACCCACTTCCTGATAACATAATAATATATATAGTAAAAAAATAGTCTTAACACAAAGTTATACAGTATAGTACTTCCTTATATTTAACAGCCTAAAAAAAAATGTGTCCAAATAAAAAGTTGTTTTTTTTTAAATTAAAAATGGAAGGGACACACAAAACTTCATCTTCATTATCTGTTATACAATAGATTTGCAATGTCCATCCTAATAATATAAATCTAATTTCTTTTCTTTTTAAAAAAATAATTATAGTTACATTGTTGACATATGAAGGGTTTCATAAATTATTTTAATTAATTGCCATTGTCGAAGTGTTGTTCTGTTGTATAGTGATTGCATCCACACCATGACTCTAATGTTACAAGTACGATCGACTTACGATAAGGCGCGGTAAACAAATGGAGGAAATGGATTACAGTAATACTGGCATTACTGTACACACCCCTTGTTCGGCTAAAATTGGATTGAAGATCGTAAAAGTAAAGTCCTGATTAAAAAAATCTTTATATTGTTGTATTCATGTCTAAAAAATTACAGATTGTTTGTATTACAGTACTGGTCCAAAATGTGATTCATGTCATTCGACGCACCCTCTCAGTAGAAATTCATCCGCAACAACCATAATGTTTTTCTTGCGTGAAAATTAAACATAATATCGTTGTTTTGTAGTAGTATTAATTGAAGATACAATTGATTTAATTTTATATTCAAGCTATTATTCATTGTGAACGTTTTAAAGGAAATTGATTTACAGCTGTTGCTATTTTCTATTGCGGATGCATCCACTGACACGTGCGGTCACGTAAACCTGACTGATCGCTAGATGACGATCGGGCAAGCCCGACGCCATAAAAATGGAAGGGACACACACAACTTCACCTTCATTATCTGTTATACAATAGATTTGCACTGTGAGCAGATCCAGTAATAATATAAATAAACTTTTACAGCAGCAAAAGCTAAGCTTTCTTTGCTCTTTTTGAAGAAAATAATTAATAGTTACATTGTTGAGCTCTGTGGGAAATCCCCCACTGCCCACTCTTGTGAGGTAAGCTTTGACCACACCCACAATGTCCCCTAGACAGTGAGGAGGGATTCCTAGGCCAGTACACACCCCTCCAATACTGCAGTTCGAAGACGTCACGTAGGGATAAAGTCCTGTTAAAAAAATATTACGTTTCATAAATAAATTACAGAGTATTTACTGCAGTATGCAGTATTGAGGGGAATTCCAAGAACAGATTTTTATTTCTGTTAATCTAAATCTAGTACTGAAATTTTCATTGAAAGGTTGTTGGCCCAAATCCGTAGATTGCAAAGAGTTTTCAAGTTTTTGGGGGAACCCTTTAATTTGCTTGTCAATCATTCCCAATCCACCCTGAATAATCTATGATGCTTCATATCTGTATCAAAATGACCTTCAAAAGTGTATGCTTCTGTGTTTTATTTTCTATTCAAATTCATTTCACTGCTACAATTATACACTGTCCTACCAAAGTCTATGTCTAGAACATTAGACTGGGCTCCTTCAACCAGTATTGTTTTCCCATCCTTGATTGCCTTGGACAGAATTGGAATTGTATCCCTCACAAATGGCTTGACTTTGTTGCGCAAGATCTGGAATGCAAATTGACAAGACTAGCCTGTTGTGTGTACTGACAGTTTATAATTCAAAAAGTATCCTAACCTCATAAGGCAGTATAACTTGGGTAGCTATTAAATTTATTCCTCAAGTAGATTTGGAGGATAGATGGTATTTATGACTGGTCTAAAAATAAAACACATGATTACAAAGAAGGAAGTCAATCTCTCTACCTTATATCTCTCAAGTTCCTTGTTAACATCCACTTCTAAATCATGATGGTGACTCTTATAGTAGTCTATTAACTTCCTGAATCTGAAACAAGAGTTGAATACATCCATATTATATTCTGCGTATTTCTACACAAGTAAAATAAACATGGAACACAAGTTTAATACTTTGATCGTTCAATCCAACTCAATGAATAAAATATATTTTAAACTAATACTTTGTGAGAGACACTTATTTTTCCTTTCTGTGGTGTTAACAGACCTTCTGTTAAGGTATTTGGTAAAGCCTTCACACAGAGGTCTATGTGATTAAGAATTAATCTGTAAAATATTTTTTACATCTTAACACATACAATTCATTCACTCCCCTTTACCTTGATATATCCTTAGCTACTGTAATGAAAAGAAATTCAAGCATTTTGGAAACACAATGAAACTTAGGAAGGTGTGTAGGAAATGGAGCCATACTTACTTTTCTGTAAATAAAGAGAAGTCCCCCACAAGATCACCCACACGTAAACCATTACGAGTTGCCTGACAAAAATCAAATACTGTGAGTGTATTTTCAAATGTAGGTTCTATTAAAATGCTTCTATTCACTGAATCAACTACAGGTGACTTAAAACTCTTCACCCTATCTTTTTTTGTTTTGAAACTGAAAAATTTTGAATAACTTAATCACTGATGCTAAATTGTTAACCCAATCTCTTTATAAATTCATAAAGTTTCTTCCTCTTATTTTTACATATGTAAAATTCAAATCAAGGAATGAAAACTGTAAATTTTTTCCATGTTCGTCTTTAAACCAGACAAGCTTTAAGTTTTATATTTCCAAATAATTTCTTTCCACATTTTCCATTGATCCTTTAAGAATCAACAACAGATTTTGCATACCTTAGAGGAATAAGCTGGACCAATTCCCTTTTTAGTTGTTCCAATTCTATTTAAAAAAAATCATGATTAATAACCTACTGTTATGCAAATCTTACGTTACAGAGGCAGTATTACATTCATATTTTTATTACTATAACTACAGGGTTGTGGAAAACCACTTGCCCAGTCACAAATGCCAGTAAAATTTGCTGTGGGTGATTAATACACACAATAAAAGATCAGAATCAAAATCATTACATGTATATAACTTAATATGCACCGATAATCAATATATGCTTCAGTTGCATGGTTAAACAAAACCTAGTTGTCTCCCTTGACTCCAACAAAATTTGTTGCCATTTCCATCCCACATTGTGTGTGTTGTATTATTATGCTGTAATTTTTTAAATAAATTAAAATAGTGTGTTGTATTATTATGCTGTAATTTTTTAAAGAAATCAGAAAAGTTATAATTGGTGTTTTCAATTCTCATCCAACATTGTGTGTGTTGTATTATTATGCTGTAATTTTTTAAATACAATGCTATGAAAAGCAATGCATATATTATTGCAAATGGATTTATACATTCAGAGAGATCTGGCTGGTTCCAATATTTTTTTTTGAGTTCAAATAGCAAACACATGATGAACGCATTATTTGACGTGATAGATTTTTCAAAATGTTTAAATGAACTTATCCCTTTTCTCTCTCAATCTATTTTGGCATTAAAAGAGAAAATTTGAAAACCTGTACAAAAATTTCCTAATACTTTTTCTGCAAAACTTTATAGAATGTTTAAAAAGAAATCAGTTTTTAAAATTTTCAAGGCAATATTTGTTTGGATACTCCATGTAAAATTTACAGTAAAATTTCATAGAATTTGCAGAATGAGATAAAAATTCTATATTTTATGGAACAAAAGTGTTTCAACACATACTTGAATTAACGGGATTTTTGGATGTCAAATGTTCATATCAAAATAGTTTATCTTAGTTACACTTAGGGTTTCGTTTTCGATTGCGCCTCTCCTCATATATACGATTGCTTACAAAAACTTTACTAATTTATTTAAATATAAAATTTATGATTTGTGGTTTATTCTATAGATAGAAAAGATGATGATAAGTAAATATCTTAAAATTCTTTGATGTACCTGAAGCGGTTTTAATTTTAAGGCGCTAGTCCACGAATTTTTTGATAGCCCCTCGTACTTTCAGTTCTTTAACAAACGCTCTACTAACCTATATTATTTGTATTTGCATGCAAGCATATTAGTCAAACATGTTCGCCATTTATATCAAACATGAAGATTTACTGAAGTAGTTAATTTGCAATCTCCTTTGAAGTTAATGACAAGAAAGCAAACATTTGAGATTGTTCTTTAAGAAATGTTTAATAATCAGCTATGGCTGTGAACACTTCAGACTTAGTTATTCATAAATAATTTGAATAAATATAAATGCACACATTATTGCTTCTTAGATAAAATCATTACATGTACATAAAATTAATATGCCCCAATAAACAATAATTTTTTTTTAAACAAAACCTAGTGTCTTTATTTCTACAAAATTTATGGCCATTTCCATCCAACACTGTGTGTGTTGTATTATAATGCTGTAATTTTTTAATAAATTAGAAAAGTTATTTTTTTTTCACCGTATGCCAAGGGTTTATGCATGGAAAATGCAGAGAAGGCAAAATATCATGGAATGCAATATTCAATTAAAATGAAATGAACATAATTATTATTGTATCAAGATTTTTAAGATGAGAAAACCTGACAAAAATTTGAATGCTGCAAACATATTGATATTGTGATTTAAAAGAAATCATTTTAAAAAATTAAGAATTTTCTTTTGTTTTTATTTTTTATTAACATTTAATGACCTCCTTATAACTGTGAGCCCATGAATCCAAACATGAAAAGTTAAACCCAATTTAACCTTTCAAATTAAGGTAACCACAACCCTGAACTATACACCTGAATTTTATCAAAAGGTTTATTTACATATAAACATGTTGAAAATTGCACATGTCAACAACATAAAAAATTTCTAATGAAATATACTTGTATGTTTTATGCTTAGAAAAATTAGAACGAAATTTTGTTAAATGCCTTTATTGTAGTGAAATGGGGGCACTGTCAGAGATAGACATGACAAACATTTTGCCCTGGCCATATTACATACGGCAAAACTCTTCAATAAACAAAGAAATTTACAAATTAAAAAAAAATACATGATGAAATTCTTTGTTTTTCACATATATTAGGCCATTTTCACCATCTGTAAAAAATGAAAAGAAAAAAATTGCAAGGTTGCAGCACACAAAATTTGGAATTCATCCACTATGATTTTGTTTGTCGCAATGGGTTTACATAATTCAACACACGATTGCAATATTTTGTTTAAAAAATAAATAATTATATATTTTGAAATAATTTTTTCGCCATGCTTTATTTTTCTCTTAACACGCGACATTGTTTTAAATTTTTCCAAGGGGTAGAAAAGGGAATAGCTCTGTCAAAAATGGTTTACTGATATCATGTAATATATAGAAAAATAAAATATTCATTTAATTTAAATGATTTATAGACTTATTTTATTTTTTAAAAAACTGTAATCCATGCATATTTAAGTCCGCAATAAAAAGAGTGTGTATAAACACTTCAACATTTTTTCTAAGAGAAAGACAAAATCGTTTACTTTTAGTTGCAGTGTTTGTTTTTTTTTTAACTCACAAATTGAAATAAAACAGGATAAAATTAATGAATCTGTACCAAAAAAATTGATCCCTCAGTATTTTAGGTTGTGAAAAATAACTAGGTTCCAAAGTTGTTTATTAATTCAAATATTTAAAAAAATAATAGAAATGCCAACTCTCAATGCATAGTCTATAAAGCTAATGGTAAGCAAGATCGGCAAACATATAACTTAGACGCAATTTGACGTCATTTTAATTGTGACGTTAAATTTCATGTTCAATTGTGATGGCAGTCAAGGGTATTGTGACGTGCCTGAAACTGCAAATAATTGAAATTTTTCTAAGTTCAAGGCGTTAACTTTACACATAAAACCATGAAGACATGGACAGGATACATGAATTGATGACCTCTGTATAACTTTAGATAATCCAAACATTAAGTTCAAACTTCATTTAACCTTAAATTATTTTTAGAACTGGACTTACAAACTGTCCGGTTTCTCTTTACATATAAACATGTCACACTGCACATGTTAACAACATGCATTAAATTTCTAATGAATGGCATTCTGTGGTTTAAGAAAATCATGGTCGAGATCTAAAAGTGTTGCTAAATGCAAATAGTGACCAATGAAGGGAAAGATGACAGGACAGAGATAGACATGACAAACACTGATATATCAGGCATAAGATCAATACATAATTTCATTTCAGTATCTAGGCCATCCACCATCTGATGAACATCAAACACTGCATGAAAACAAAAAGTACAGTCATATTACACAACCTTACACTGCCAGTTTTTCTGACAATATAAAGCACTAACACCAGGCATATGGTTTCCTGTTATTTAAATTGATCATCATTTATCAATTTTCAATTTAAGGTTGCAGTATATCATGTAATTCATCCACTATGATTTTTTGTCCAGTATCTGTTTTTAATTTAAATCTAACAGCTTTTGTTTTAAGTTTATGAAATTATATATTTTTTAAAAATATTTATATGATTTATCTTGGTTGCACAAAGGGCAAACTTTCTCAAAAATGGTGCAATTGTAAAAAAACAGAACATTGTAGGTTTTACAGTAAGCAAGATATTTCTCCATTAAACTTAGCATCTCTTTGATGGTCCCAACAAACCCTCATGGGGGTCAAGGTTTTAAACAATTCGGGATTTCACAACATAATTTAAAAATTCATCCATAAGGATTTAGCAATGAATAATTTTAAATAAAGAATCCCACCCAATTTTATCTGCTTTTTTCTCTCCCTTAAGGCAGAGCCATTTCTATTCAAAATGAAAAACTTGCATTGAACATGTTGAAATTAAATCACATAAATTATACAGTTGCACAAAAAACAATACATTTCTATGAAAAGATGCACAACAGGGTAACATGTACCAAATATACTTCGTCTTTAATTATTTCCTTCTAAGGTTTCTTATGGATAATTTAAAAAGTCAGCATTGTTTCTTAAATTTGAGTTAGAAAAATGCTAAGAGCCTTCAAAAGGGCAGGAAGAATAAAACAGTTATGATCGAAAATATTGATTTAAAAAAAAAAAGCAAAGTTAACAAATTTTAGAACATGTTCATTTCTAATAAATCAAAGAATTCTATTTGACCTCTCTTATTCATACAATATTCAAAGTCAAAATAATCCATGATTAAGTCAATCAAATATTGATAGACCAATCATCTTAATCGATCTCCTTGATTAATAAAATATATACAAGGTCCTAAATCTTTTTTTGATTAAAGGGACATTTATAATTCATGAACATAAATCCCTATTTTGTATCTGCCACCTTCACATCAAAGAAACCATTTATATATTGGAAATTGCATGCATTTGTAAATATAGTTTGACGTCTTAGGAATAATGCACCAAATCCTTCATTTACAGACTCTGGTGTCATTCATATAATACAGTTGTGCGTTGTTACTCTGGATGCTTGGGTTCTCAAGCAAATTGCCTTGATTATTATAATGTCCTCCAGATTACTGAAACATACTTGGTATATACAGCTTATATCCTTTTACTTCACCATTGAGAAATTTTGTCAACTCCTGAACTGCCATAGATTCATTTACTTCACAATTTTTTCTTTTTCCAATATGTGATAATAAAACATTTTTTAAAAGTATTTTATCAGAATTTAAAATTTACAACAAATGTACCAAGTATTTAAAAAGATAGGAATTCATTTTGAATCTGGAAAAATTTCTGAGGCTTTATGTCAAGAAGTACAGACAAAAATACAGCAAGCTGCAAATAATTATTGCTGTGAATGGGTTTAACATGAAGCATATAGATCTATGAAAAAAATTGATGGCAACATTTATTTCCCTATAATAGGTCAAGGATTTCTCTAACATTCCATTTTACTAACAAGGCCTACACTGTGACAAATGAGTTATGAAGTCCTACACTACCTAAGTGAGCTCGGTTGGAGATCAATGAGTTATGACGTCATACAGTACCTAAGTGAGCTCGGTTTGAGATCAAAAGTCTACATTGTGACAAATGAGTTATGAAGTCCTACTCTACCTAAGTGAGCTCGGTTTGAGATCAGAAGTCGATCCTGCCAACCCTCCATTCCTTTCTCAGCATTCTTTTCAATTTCCTCAAACAAGTTTGGCAGATGTACCACAACCCCATTTCCTAAGGAGAAAATAATAAGATATATATTCATGTCCATGATAAAAATTTATAGAAAGAATGCATTGAATATTTTGGTTTAAATTGAATTGAAATTTCCAGTTTAATCCGCATGTTGAAAATTAAACGTGTGATTTTTTAATAAGAATGTCACTATAATGTCTTACATTTATATTAAGTACGTTTGACCTTTTTTTTTTTTACCAATAAAGCCTAAAATTTTGCAATTTTTTTTATTCAATTATCAATTAATACCATATAACTGCATAATTAAATATTCTACAGTATATTCATGTCCATGATAAAAATATATAGAAAGAATGCATTGAATATTTTGGTTTAAATTGAATTGAAATATTGTACAGAGTCCATTAATTCTATAGAGTTATCCTAAGCTTTGTAGTCAAATAACAATAAATCATGTGTGACTTTGCTAATAAGAATGATGCTTCTAAAATAAACATGGCTTACAGGTTTGAGTGGTACTGTTTGACCTTTTTTTTTTTTACCTGAATAAAGCCTACACTAAATTTTGCAATTTTTTTTTAAATCAATTATCAAAATTTAATTTTTTGAGGTTTCAGCATATAATTTACAATTTGCAATAAATGAGAAAATAGTTTGGGACTATGAAGTATAAATCTTCAAGGAAATGTTATGTCCAGTGTTTAATATAAAATTTCAAAAAGCAGTCTTTTTTGGTCACATAAACTTCTAAAATCACTTGGTTGGAAAGTTTCCCCTGTGATTTGTAAAAGAAATAATCTTTGTTTACAAAGATTAAAAAAAAATTAGAAAAATATATGTCTAAAAAATTTTACACGTGCAATTTTGATCAGAGTTAAAAAATTTGTTCATTATTGATGCATATGAGGTATGCAATTTTTGTCATATAGACACATTATGAATTTATTGCAATCTTGGGACAGTTTACGGAAGTTCAATGGGGTCTTGTTTTCTAGGTGCCTAATTAATGACAAAGGCAGACAACGGTGACAGCTGTGCACTTCTTGTAAATTTTCTCCACTGGGCAGTAGGTGGAAAATCAACCATGACGATGACGATAACGCGAAACAAGGCCATGTTACAGTATGACCAGCATTGTTTCGCTCACCTTCAACCAAAAAACAGAATTTCTAAGCATTATAATCATGATATAAAAATTTGAAGTTAAACATCTTTTCATGACCAATATATATTTTTCTTTCAGAAATTTAATTTTTTGCATTGTATCACGATGTTAATTTACAGTTTGCAATGAATGAGATAATAGTTTGGGACTATGAAGTATAAATCTTCAAGGAAATGTTATGTCCAGTTTTTAATATAAAATTTCAAAAAGTAGTTTTAAATTCTGAGTTCTAAACAACAGCTTAGAGCTATATATAGGCAAGCCATTTTTGGGCATGCATGTTCTAATAAAATCTCAATCTTTAGCAATAAATTAAGGCATAGCATATGTAATCTGCTTGCATAACTTCCACTGATTACTATATTTACATATAATTCAGGGCAATGTTCTTTCAAGTATTATCAAGTTTGACTTAAGTAACCCTCATACACGATGAATAAAAAAGTGTGGTGTTTATAACTCACAAATCAACATACATGGATCTAATGCTAGAAAACTGGCACTCATTCAATTTCTTTTTGGTTTATTCTGTGCATACTACTGGTTAATTCCCATAAACACTACTTAAAAAGTAAAACTAATTCCAAGGTTCAAAATCACTGAGGACTGGTGCCTGGGGCTAAGTTATTTTGGATTCCACATTGCAGTTATTTGGGGATTTTCTTAATATTTCAAAGAAATTATTACATCATTCAATATATTAAATACAACCCAAACAAAACAAAAAAACTATTATAAATAGAAGAACTTAAGAAAATCAATTTCTATATTTCATGTATTTTTTCTTAAATTTTAATAATAATCACTGAAAATTTAAATTTATCTCTATAAATGATAACTTAATTCTCTTTACCAGTAAAATAATTTATCATGACACATTTCCTGAGAAGGATCACACTTATAACAAATTTTAAAATTTATGTCTATAAATCTCTTTCAGTTTCTATCCCTAGGATTGTATTTTTATGTCTTTATTTTGGCCAAATTTAAGTGAAAAATTAAATGTCATAATCAAGAGAACTTGACAAAATTTACTCAAATTAAAAAGGAAACGACATAAACAAAGTTTTTTTTTTTTTAAATTAAAATGTAATGACTAATGTTATGCTTAGAGGATATTTCATAACAATGGAAAAAAATCTTCAAAATCTAAAATTATATAGGATTTATTTTTCTTATTGACAAAAAGGACATTAATTATACCATTTCCAATGCCTGGCAGTAGTAAAAACTGAGCATTGATAAACCCCAGGATATCTTTATCATTACTCCATAGAAATGAAAAAATCAGTTGTCAGGGACATTTAAATTAACCTAAAGAGAATCTGCACATTCAAAATCTCAGGAAACATTTTTCACTTCTGGAAGCATTACAATTTTTGATATTATAATTATATATTTTAAAGTGTTTATGAACATGTATCTGAGAAAAAAAATAAAATGCTACACTTGTATATATATATATACATTCATATGCCCTGTTTTATACAGGTGTCACTAATTATTGCCACTTGTTCCAGTAATTGCTCACAGCATTATTCTACTCCACTAACTAAAGACAACAGGCAGCCACATGATGCCAACACCTACATACACATCTTGTCCTATATATTCACTAGAGGCCTGCTAATACATAATATATTTAGTACAGCAAAGTGGCATTCATGGTAGTTCTGAAACCCACGAACGAAGTTTCATTCAAAGAGAGGCATGCAACACAAACAATATAGGCCTATTAGTAAATACTTTTTGAAATCTGTGTATTCCAAAATGAATCCAAAAAACATTAAAACACGATTATCAAATCCAATTTTTTAAAACAAGTGCTTATGTTATAAATGTGTAATATCAATTACAATAACTTCTTTTAAAAAAAAAGAATTAACAATTTTCTTTATAAAGCAATGTGACTATATGTTGACTCCAATATATTTTCCGAGTTTTGAAATCACCCCTGAATAAAATGCGTGGAAGGTCGGCCAAGGTTAACAATACACACAATGTTTAGCAATTCCATGATCACACAATGATGAAAAACATATTTCAAATAATTCTTTAACATTCCTGGAAGCAAATAGTACATAAAATGATAAAAACATGCAAAAACACGGAAATACATACCTGACATCGGCAGCAAATGTCGGCACTAGCAGCAATCATGTCAACAATTTTTCCTTTCCCTTCATCTCCCCATTGTGACCCCAGGACAACAGTTACAGGGTTTGTGGGTGCTAGTCTAGGTTTCTTAAGGGGTACACAGCCATTTACTGGCAGTGCCATGTTTTTGATAATATTAGGCTTTACAGCGCAAAGAAAGATTCGTGTTGTGTATCCAAACAGACAACAATCGTGTGCGCATGGCAGGGTAAAATAGCGCCAAATGATGCGTTCCGACTTTGACAAGTCATTCACTATAGCGCAGTCGACAGTTAATTTATCAAAAATGTCTTCAAGACAGAAAATTGATTTTATAGAGGAAGTTGTACTTAATTGAACTGTTAAACAATTATTTGTATAAATTTTTTCACCTTGAGAAAAAGGATGCTTTCAGATACCTGATATTAAAAAAAAAAATTCCAGCATGTGGAAATCAAGGAATTATTTAACATTTTACGTTTTCATGAATATCATAAATAAGGTAATACTGTACATCTTCCATAAATAAATCCATTGGAAAAATGATTTATATTTATTAAAATACCTGAAGAGGTAGAGCCACTTTAGGCCATATTTGGCCCTGAGAATTTCTGAAAAATCAAAACCAATCAGTTTAGGTTGCAAATGCAGTATTTATCACTTGGAGTGTTGGTGACCACGTGTCTATTAATCATGATGTAATTTCCCATCTAGTGAATGCATTATGACGTCATAAAATGCGTCATTTTCCTCATACCCTGTAAATTCCTTTGAAAATGGCCTAAAGTTGAAGCTTTTTTTCAATATTTCATATAGAGCACAACCTCTGATCCAAAATATGCAAATACATAATGAAAGCTCTGTTTCTGAAGATCAAAAAACATGTTTTATTTTTTGGATCATGGGCTGTGCTTATATGTTAATTCTTTGCTGAAGGTAATCAAATACGCATGTTTTCTGCAAATTTCAAGAACATTGGAATTTCTCAAACCCGTTTTCAAATATCTGGATTAATTCTCAAAAACAAAATTTATTATAGGAAATGAGAGCACCAAGTATCTACTTTCTTTTGATATATGACATGGGAAAGAGGGTGATAGTTAATTAATTGATATAAGTACAGGGCCATTTTATGTATAAGATGGCTCATGCTCTTTGATCATATTAATTGATGTAACTGACACTGCTCCCTTGATGCACCTGCATGCATGCATCTCATGCAAATTAATTAAAAACATGTACTTGAAGCACATCTTTTTAAAATTGAAAATTACATTACATTACATTTATTGACAATTATTGAATAAAGCAATCAAAGGTAAAATATAACTTTTATTAATATCACAGTGATATATTTTGGCACAGTCTATAGCATGGTTTGAACATATAATCATATCTGGTATCTAGAGAAAATTAACTTCTCCCCTAAAAATGTCTTAGGGGAAAAAAAAAGAAATAATAAAAAACAAGAGATGCTCGTGAAACACTTATGCCCCCTCCCTCTTGGATAAACATGTGAAGAAAATGAACAGAAACTGCAAATAATACATTAAGGACGTTCGATCCTGAGATTTTGAGTGGATTTTGGTCATGTCTTTTATTTATAAAATTCTGCATCATTTTTAAGTTCTAACAATAAATCTGAATTCTACAATGCAAATTGAACTATAATCAATCAAAAAACAGCGATTAAATTCCATTCAAGTAGAATTAAGCTAGGGACTATATTTTGTGGCGGAAGGTTTTTTAGACGAAAATGATCAGTTTTTCCCCTTTTGAACTATAACTGTATTGTTAATTTTAGATTCCTATTTCTCCATGCTGGTTGCACAGAAAGCTGTTTTTTGCAGTAAAACGTGTTATGCTGGTTCTGCAATATCTATTAAATTATTTCTTATGAATTCTTTCAACAAAGTGTGACAAATATAGTAAATGTATTCTGAAAATCCCGGAAAAAATTGAGTCAATTTTAACGTAAAATTGACACTTTTTTAGTAATATTTGAAAATTTACATCATATACCCCCACTTTTGATGTTCTTTTCTAAATATTCAAGATAACTTTGACCTATTTGCTTAAAATCAGAAAATGTTTAGGACTTTAAAATAATTTTCTTGCTTATTAAATTTTCAATGCCAGAAAAATCACATTTATTAGTGCAGAAAGGTTAAATAATTGATTATGCGAAGCAATTTGAAACTTTTTCTTCATCAAAATTTTAAAGTGTCCTTTTTTAAATAGACTTAGAGTTCATTTTGTTTCATGCATTATTTGGATAAAAATATTGAAGGGAAAACGTCGAAGATGTAATTTTTAATAAAACACAAATTTCAGTGCAAAATGGTCATATTAAATGTACTGTAGCACCAAAAGAAGCATTGACCCTTGTTTTTTGATTTGAATTTTAATTAAGCTATGTATGTAGAAACTAAAAATATACTTGGCAAAAAAGTTTTAAAACTTTAAATATCAGGATCGAACGTCGTTAATTGGAATTTTTCTAAGTCCAAGGGGCATAACTCTGCCAAAAATTGCTTGATCCTATCCAAAACATAACTTGACTTAGATATTCTTATGATGAATCTATATATCAAATTTCATTTCAGTATGTGCAGCTTCTGCAATAGGGCTGGGCAAAAATATTGATATTTCTGTATATTGCAATACAATGACAAAAAATATATAGTATTGCAATACGTTTCGGTAATATCAATATGCCGGCAAAATCCCTGACTAAGGAATTTTATCATTAAAGTATAATAACCAGAAGTCTCTGTCGAGACTGTAGCTCTACTGGTACTGATCAAAAACCGATGCACAGAATTATGTATCTTAGTGTAGTCTACTTGTGTGATAAGTTATATTGAAATCAGACCAAAACTGTAGAAGGAGTAGCATTTTAAAGGAATTCCACAGAAAATTCTACTTTTAGTAACCATGGCAACACCGCTCATCGAAATCAAAAACCGATGCACTATTCTATGTATCTTAGTGTAGTCTACTTGTGTGCCAAGTGATATTGAAATGAGACTAAAACTGTAGAAGGAGTAGCGTTTTAAAGAATTTCTCAGAAAATTCTATTTTTAGTAACCATGGCAACATCGTTCATCGAAATCAAAAACCGGTGCACTATTTTATGTATCTTAGTGTAGTCTACTTGTGTGCCAAGTTATATTGAAATCAGACCAAAACTTTAGAAGGAGTAGCATTTTAAAGGAATTCCTCAGAAAATTCTATTTTTAGTAACCATTGCAACACCGCTCATCAAAATCAAAAACTGATGCACTATTTTATGCATCTTAGTGTAGTCTACTTGTGTGCCAAGTGATATTGAAATGAGACTAAAACTGTAGAAGGAGTTGCATTTTAAAGGAATTTCACAGAAAATTCTATTTTTAGTAACCATGGCAACATCGTTCATCGAAATCAAAAATCGATGCACTATTTTATGCATCTTAGTGTAGTCTACTTGTGTGCCAAGTGATATTGAAATGAGACTAAAACTGTAGAAGGAGTTGCATTTTAAAGGAATTTCACAGAAATTTCTATTTTTAGTAACAATGACAACATCGTTCATCGAAATCAAAAATCGATGCACTATTTTATGTATCTTAGTGTAGTCTACTTGTGTGCCAACTTATATTGAAATCAGACCAAAACTGTAGGAGTAGCGTTTTAAAGGAATTTCTCAGAAAATTCTATTTTTAGTAACCATGGCATCACCGTTCATCGAAATCAAAAACCGATGCACTACTTTATGTATCTTAGTGTAGTCTACTTGTGTGCCAAGTTATATTGAAATCAGACCAAAACTGTAGAAGGAGTAGCGTTTTAAAGGAATTACTCAGAAAATTCTATATTTAGTAACCATGGCAACACCGTTCATCGAAATCAAAAACCGATGCACTATTTTATGTATCTTAGTGTAGTCTACTTGTGTGCCAAGTTATATTGAAATCAGACTAAAATTGTAGGAGGAGTAGCGTTTTGAAAAATTGTTTACAGACAGACGGACAGACAGACAGACAGATGGACGGACGCCGGACACATCACTATCGCATAAGCTCTTCTGGTCTCTGACCAGTAGAGCTAAAAATAAATATGAGAAAGGTTGTTATAAAGCCAAATAGTAAGACAGATGCTGTTTTATGAGTGTATTTCAGAGCATAACTTTAATAAAAGCGTGATCAACAAGATTTTTTTTTCGTTTTGCTTACTTATCATATTTAAGTACATTCTGCATGTTAAAGTTAATATAATAAGAAAATTATATTTTAATAACGATAAAAATATTGCAATACATATTGCAATACAGTTAAAAATATCACAATATATCACAATATGAAATCCATGGCCAATACCCAGCCCTATTCTGCAAAGAAAATGAATAGAAAATGTTGGTAGATTGACAGACAGACAGACAGTAGCAAAGCAATATGCCCTCCCTTCTTCAGAGGGTGGCAATTAAAAATAATGCCACTGTAAAATCCTTTTGTTCATTGATGCCTTATTTTCTTCACACAGTTTTTCATGATCAAGTCTATCAATTAAGGGTATATAAGCATTAAAAAAATTTCAATTGCAAAATGCATAAACTTAAGTTATATAAGTTACATAAAATGCACATATATCACAGTTCTGCACACAAATATTAGTAATATTAGTCTTTCATTGACAACTTTTCAAGGAATAACTGTCTTATTTTTCATTTTCATGATGTGATCAATCGACTGGCTTGCGTGATAATTTGCATAAACGCCTTTATGCATAAAATTATCACGCAAGCCAAATGATTGATCATCGTCATGAAATCAAAAAATCTGACAGTTATTCCTTATATTTACATGCTCTTGATTCCACCAATCCAAGTGCTACAAGCCCTGCTTCTGTCTAGCTATTTGTCCCGCCCTGCACGTGATTTTTTTTAACCGCGCCTATCGATGAACCAGTGCATTGATGGAGAAATAAAATACATTAACTACCCGTATTTGTAATTTTATCTTGGACAAAGACATTGGAAATGTAAATATATAGAGGATATTCAATGTTTTGTAGTTGAATATGGAATTTATTTCACGAGTGGGACAGGATTTTTTATATTTTCACGAGTGCGAAGCACGAGTGAAAATATCAAAAAATCCTGTCTCATGAGTGAAATAAATTCCATATTCAACTACAAAACATTGAATTTTCTGTTTATTACATTTTAAAAAAAAAAATTCTTTGATTTTTCCTTTGCCCCTGTCTTTTTGTAATATAGTCATAGGCTCGTGACGTCATAGTTGAGCGGTTGAGACGTCATAGCTAAGTGAGGTGAAAAGACTGTAAACATGAATTTAGCAACATATTTTTGGTAATTTTGACAGTTTTATTCGCTGTCAGAATGGTTTATTTATTTCCATCTATCTTATATTAGGTCAAGGAAGTTTTTTTTACAGCAATCTTCGTTATGGGAAGGGAAATCGAGAGTTTTCCCGCACTTCTGATATTCGTCACACTGTGACAGAATATCATTTTGATATCCTTTCACACTGTGACAGGATATCATTTTTATTCAATGAATAAATTACAGTATTTCACGGGTAAAAATGTAATAGATATGGATCATTCATCCAATGGTGGACCATTACATATGATTTCCTCCTATGTGAAAATGACAAACCATCTCTTGGATTATAATACATGAATCAGAAATGCATACATTATCTCTGTCAACAAATAATTAACATGTAAATCTGTATCCATCTACCCTTTGCTGGTCAGTCAGCATAAGACTAATGTATGCAATTTCTAAAAAATCAATGCATTGCAAACTCTCTCAAATATCTCAAGGTGATAAGCCGGCCCCCATTAATTTTCTGTTTTCTCTCCCCCCCTCCCCCAAACAAAATGCTGAGGGAATTGAACATTTTGTTACTACATGTAACTATGATAAAGATATGTTTACCATAAGGCAATGCATGATTCTTAAGAAAATGACCATTCTACATCTGATCCTTCAGTATTGAGTGAACTAGCAAACTGTGAGGAGTAGGATCCGTGGAATCCCACGGGATTGTAATGGCTGGTCTGGGAATCACTGTTGATGACGACACACGTGGAGGCCTCTATAGACTGGTAACTGTCTGTGGAGCAAACTAGAAGTCTGTGGCTCTCCTCTGTTGTTTTGTCAGCCATCTTATCCTCTTCTGAGGTCACAGGGGTCTCAACAGAGCTGGAAAATGTTAATGACATAATCACTCAGACAAATAATAATTGAGGTTTGTAAGGAAATTTATTTTTGCCCCCCATTTTATTTTGGTCCTTTGCACCCTACTTACAGATGGGATAATTCAAAGAAGGGTTGAATTCAAAGAACACATTAGAACTGTGACTAGGCAAATTCAAAATGGAGCAAAACTGCTTTCAAGTGTGAAAGAGCAAAAATAATGAAAGAACAAGAGGCCCATGGGCCACATTGCTCACCTGAGTACTGTAGCTTAGAAAAAGTAGAAATTGGTTTATTATTGAAAAGTTAAAATCCAAAAGTAATCCCATGATCAATCATGTATTTGTTATTCTTCAAAGAATTTTCCCATATATTTCTATGTAAAACTTTGGTCGGCCATTGGCCCCGCCCTACCCCCTGGGGTCATGATTTGAACAAATTTGAATCTACACTACCTGAGCATGCTTCCATATAAATATGATGAATAATGGCTTTGTCATTCTTGAGAAGAAGATTTTTAAAGAATTTTCCCATTAATTTCTATGTAAAACTTTGGTCGGCCATTTTGGCCCCGCCCCATCCCCGGGGGTCATGATTTGAACAAATTTGAATCTTCACTACCTGAGGATACTTCCATATAAATTTGATGAATTATGGCTTTGTCATTCTTGAGAAGAAGATTTTTAAAGAATTTTCCTATATATTTCTATGTAAAACTTTGGTCGGCCATTTTGGCCCCGCCCTACCCCCAGGGGTCATGATGTGAACAAACTTGAATCTTCACTACCTGAGGATGCTTCCATATAAATTTGATGAATTATGGCTCTGTCATTCTTGAGAAGAAGATTTTTAAAGAATTTTCCTATATATTTTCATGTAAAACTTTGGTCGGCCATTTTGGCCCCGCCCTACCCTCAGGGGTCATGATTTGAACAAACTTGAATCTTCACTACCTATGGATGCTTCCACATAAATTTGATGAATTATGGCTCTGTCATTCTTGAGAAGAAAACCTTTAAAGAATTTTCCTATATATTTCTATGTAAAACTTTGGTCGGCCATTTTGGCCCCGCCCTACCCCTGGTGGTCATGATTTGAACAAACTTGAATCTTCACTACCTGAGGATGCTTCCATATAAATTTGATGAATTATGGCTCTGTCATTCTTGAGAAGAAGATTTTTAAAGAATTTTCCTATATATTTCTATGTAAAACTTTGGTCGGCCATTTTGGCCCCGCCCTACCCCTGGGGGTCATGATTTCAACAAACTTCAATCTACACTACCTGAGGATGTTACCCCATAAGTTTCATCTTTCCTGGCACAGTGGTTCTTGAGAAGAAGATTTTTAAAGAATTTTCCAATATATTTCTATGTAAAACTTTGGTCGGCCATTTTGGCAAAACCCGCCCTACCCCCGGGGGTCATGATTTGAACAAACTTGAATCTACACTACCTGAGGATGTTACCCCATAAGTTTCATCTTTCCTGGCACAGTGGTTCTTGAGAAGAAGATTTTTAAAACATGCCACCAAATTTTCATTAATTCCCAATTATCTCCCCTTGAATGAGGGCGTGGCCCTTCATTTGAACAAACTTGAATCCCCTTCACCCAAGGATGCTTTGTGGCAAGTTTGGTTGAAATTGGCCCAGTGGTTCTTGAGAAGAAGTCGAAAATGTGAAAAGTTTACAGACAGACAGACAGACAGACGGACGGACAGACAGACAGACAGACGGACAGACGGACAGACAGACAGATGGACAGACGGACGCCGGACAAAATGTGATCAGAAAAGCTCACTTGAGCCTTCGGCTCAGGTGAGCTAAAAAGTGAGCAAGCTCACATACCCCACACTCCCCCAAAAGTCGAAGTGCTGAAATTCCCGGAAAATTTAAAGGAATCGGAATTTCTTGGTAATATGCACATCTACACATTGTGTCCTGAATATCTGCAAAGTTTCAAGAAATTGTGTGCAGCGGTTTATGAGGAGTTGCGCTGACAAACTGTTTATCTCTATATTAAATTTAAGATATGGACAAAAATCTCAGTGTAAAAGTGCGAAAATGCCCGGAAAAAATAAAGGAATTGGAATTTCCTGGTAATATGCACATCTACAAATTGTGTCCTAAGTATCTGCAAAGTTTCACGAAATTCTGTGCAGCGGTTTTTGAGGAGTTGCACTGATAAAACTAAGTTGAAAAGTGCCGAAATTCCAACAAAAGTAAAGGAATCGGAATTTCCTGGTAATATGCACATCTATACATTGTGTCCTTAATATCTGCAAAGTTTGACGAAATTCTGTGCAGTGGTTTATGAGGAATTGCGCTGACATAATGTTCATCTCTATATTCAAGGTATGGACAAAAATCTAAGTTGAAAAGTGCCAAAATTCCCAAAAAAATAAAGGAATCGGAATTTCCTGGTAATATGCACATCTACACATTGTGTCCTAAATATCTGCAAAGTTTGATGAAATTCTGTGAAGTGGTTTATGAGGAGTTGTGCTGACAAAATGTTCAACTCTATATTCAAGGTATGGACAAAAATCTAAAATTTTATCATTTTAGTGTGGAAATTCCCAGAAAAAATGAAGGAATTGGAATTTCCTGGTAATATGCATATCTACACAATGTGTCCTTAATATCTGCAAAGTTTGATGAAATTCTGTGCAGCGATTTAAGAGGAGTTGCGCTGACAAACTGTTCATCACTATATTCAAGATATGGCCAAAAAATCTTAATAGGAAGTGTGGAAATTCCCAGACAAAAATAAAGGAATCGGAATTTCCTGGTAATATGCACATCTACACATTGTGTCCTAAATATCTGCAAAGTTTGATGAAATTCTGTGCAACGATTTAAGAGGAGTTGCACTGACAAACTGTTCATCTCTATATTCAAGATATGGCCAAAAAATCTAAGTTGGAAGTGTGGAAATTCCCAGACAAAAATAAAGGAATCGGAATTTCCTGGTAATATGCACATCTACACAATGTGTCCTAAATATCTGCAAAGTTTGATGAAATTCTGTGCAGTGGTTTAAGAGGAGTTGCACTGACAAATGTTCATATCTATATTCAAGATATGGCCAAAAAATCTAAGTTGGAAGTGTGGAAATTCCCAGACAAAAATAAAGGAATCGGAATTTCCTGGTAATATGCACATCTACACATTGTGTTCTAAATAACTGCAAAGTTTGATGAAATTCTGTGCAACGATTTAAGAGGAGTTGCGCTGACAAACTGTTCATCTCTATATTCAAGATATGGCCAAAAAATCTAAGTTGGAAGTGTGGAAATTCCCAGACAAAAATAAAGGAATTGGAATTTCCTGGTAATATGCACATCTACACATTGTGTCCTAAATATCTGCAAAGTTTGACAAAATTCTGTGCAGTGGCTTAAGAGGAATTGCGCTAACAAATTGTTCATCTCTATATTCAAGGTATGGCCAAAAACCTAAGTTAAAAAGTGTAAAAATTCCCGGAAAATTTAAAGGAATTGGAATTTCTTGGTAATATGCACATCTACACATTGTGTCCTGAATATCTGCAAAGTTTCAAGAAATTCTCTGCAGCAGTTCATGAGGAGTTGCACTGACAAAAAACAGGACTGACGGACTGACTGACACTCTGATTGAATGACGGACGGGTCAAAAACATTATACATCACGCAACTTGTTGCATGGGGTATAATATGGGATGAAAACAACCCTATATACAGTATTGAAAATGTTGTTATAAACTGTAGCTTACCTTCTGTTGTAGCAATAGATGGATGGCAACATGATACAGATCGATGCTATACTGAGCCAGGTAGAGAGATGGACATCTGGGTGCCAGTGAAATGGCTGCTCATCAAACAAAGTCCAAAACAACACAACAACCGGGGTCTGTAGGCTCTAACAATCACAAAATGCCAAATAAGATGAATTATAATAGTAATTAATTCTTCTATATACATGTACTAATAAATAATTTAAAAGTTATATCCCCTTCATTGGAGTAAAAGACTTCAATCTTTCAGGTCTGTTTACCTAACAAGGTGGTTGGAAGCAATTTCAAGGGGGGATAGAGAAATTCCTTGATAAGTAAAAACTAGAGGTACTGTTAGCACTGAGCTCACTAAGTGATACCCCCTGCTTCCCATATGATTATAATGGCAAAGTCCATGTTTTGCTCTAGGAGACACGAAAAAAGTGTCAGATCAGAAAATAAATAGGAGGTGCACAATGGCATTATGTAATAAAGAATCTATGAAAGTATCATTAAGTTTTATTCAACAGTAGAGGAGGAGATGCAGATAAGAGATGGGTATCCTTCAATATTATAGAGAGAATAGCAGGTATCCATGTTTTGCTATGGGGAATCCAAAATATGTGTCCGATCAAAAAGTAAAATAGGAGATGCATAGTGGAACTCATCGTCGCAAACCACGTCCAAAATGTACGGTCCTCTCCCATTCCGGCCATGGTTGCATGAGACGAGATTTTCTCGTAGCTCATTAAAGTATTGACCAATGCGAGTAAAGCATAGTCGGAAATTGACCTTTAATGCGACCTTTCAATACCCAATCGCAGTGTAGGAAATACTGCTAATGTAATTTTTTGATTTCAATTGTGATGGAAACAAAACTTGTCATTGACTGAATATGACGTCACAATAGAGAGGCGTAAATATTCAAAATTATGACACTTTTTGTGATCAAGCAGCTACGGGTAGGAGAGATCTATATGTAGACTCCGGACCATGGCTTGAGATGATGAGTGGAACTATGTAACAAAGATTCTGTGAAAGTATCATTAAATTTCATTCAGCAATATACGAGGAGTTGCGGATAAGAGATGGGTATCCCAAAATGTAATGGACGGACAGACATACACACAGAAGGACAGACCAACTTACAGATGGACAGACATCATAATTACTATATACTAGTACTCTCCCACTTTTCAAGCCGGGGTATACCAAAATGTACATGTCCATCAAACACCGTTCCAATATCGCAGCTCATAGCCAAAGTTAAAAGATTTATTTCAAAAGTACATCAAACTCCAATGTCAAGAGGTCAAATGGTACCCAAAGTAAGATCTTGTCACAAGGAATGTGAAATAGAAAAGCCCTAGCACCAACCATTCCAAAGTTAGGCCAAGGTTTGAGTAGTTCAAAAGTAGGTAACATGCTAAGATCATGAGGTATAGAATACTGGTAACCAAAAGAAAGGTATTACAAGGAATACACATATGTTATATGAAAGCCCTTCCATCAACCTTTCAAAAGTTATGGCCAAGGTACACAAGCGCATCTGATTAACTTTGGCCATACTGTTTACCAGATTTCCCCCCATGTAATACCTATTGTGAACCCATCCTACCCCCAGTGGTCATTATTTGAACAATTTATAATCTACTCTACCCCAGGATCTTCCACATGTGGTTCTTGAGAAGAGGATTTAAAAAAAAAATCCTACATGTATGTATTTCAATGTAAAACTTGGATTTCATATGGTGGCCCTGCCCTATACCACAGGGTCATGATTTTCACAATTTAGAATCTACAATACCCCAGGATGCTTCCACATAAGTGTCAGCTTTTCTGACCCAGTGGTTCTTGAGAAGAAGATTTTTAAAGATTTTACCTTTATACGGGGTATATGAATGTAACACTTGCATTTCATACTTTGGCCACGCCATACTGCCTGGGGGGACATGGTTTTAACAATTTAGCATTTACTCTACCCCAGGACGCTTCCACATAAGTTTCAGCTTTTTAGACCCAGTGGTTCTTGAGATTTTTTATGACCCCACCCTATTTTTGTCTTTTCTTCATTTTCTCCCCTTGTAAAGGGACTTGACCCTTTATTTTTTAAAAAAATTTAAACTCCTCTTAACCCAAGGATGCTTTGTACCATGTTTGCCCAGTGGTTCTTGAGAAGAAGTTGAAAATGTGAAGAGTTTACAGACAGAGGGACGGATGACAGACAAGCAACTAGAGGTACTGTGATACATGTACCCCCGCCTCCCATATGATTATAATGGCAGTGTCCATGCTTTGCTGTGGGAAACCCAAAATATTTATTAATCAAAAAGTAAAATAGGAGGTGAACAATTGCAATATGTAATATAAGATTCTTTGAAAGTTTCATTAAATTTTATTCAGTGGTATGAGAGGAGTCGCGGATAAGAGATGGGTACCCCAAAGAGTAACAAACCGACGCACATACAGATGGACGGACGGACATACTGATTGCTATATACCTTTCCACTTTTCTAGCAGGGGGGGGGGGGGGTTAAATCTACACCTCCTAAGGATGCTTTTGAATTAATATGACACTTAACGGCTTTGTTGTTCATAAGATGAAAATTATTATTGATAAAGTCTTTACATTTCTCTAATGGCTCCTCTATCCTACCAAGTACCAATTGTCACAATGTAAACATGTTTAAATTTACATAACCTATTTTGATGCTTGTATGTTGATGATCAATCATGGCTTTGTTGTTTTTTGTGAAGAATTTTAACTAATTTTCCCATGTATTCCTACATAAAATATTGATCATCCACTGTGGCCCGACTCTTCCCCCTGGGATCATAATTTGAACAAACTTAAATCTACACTACCTTTTTTGATGCTTCCATATAACTCTGACCAATCATGGCTTTGCTGTTCTTGAGAAAAAGATTTTTAAAAGATTTTTCCTATGTAAAATTTTGACCCCCCAGTGTGCCCCCATCCTACCCAGAGGGTCATGATTTGTATTTCTTTGCTAAACTTTGATACCCAATGTGGCCCCACCCTACCCCAGGGGTCATAATTTGAACAATTCTGAATCTTCACTACCAGAGGATGCTTCCACATGAGTTTCATCTTTCCTGGCCCAGTGGTTCTTGAGAAGAAGATTTTTAAAGATTTTTCCTATGTATTCCATGTTAAACTTTGATACCCCATTGTGGCCCAACCCTACTCCCGGGGGTCATGATTTGAACAAACTTGAATCTACACTATATGAGAATGCTTCCACATGAATTTCATCATTCCTGGCTCAGTGGTTCTTGAAAGGAAGATTTTTAAAGATTTTCCCTATTTATTCCTATGTTAAACTTTGATACCCCATTGTGGCCCCACCTAACTCCCAGGGGTCATGATTTGAACAAACTTGAATCTACACTACATGAGGATGCTTCCACATGAGTTTCATCTTTCCTGGCCCAGTGGTTCTTGAGAAGAAGATTTTCAAAAGATGCCATTAATTTTTCACTAATTCACAATTATCTCCCCTTGAAAGATGGGATGGCCCTTCATTTGAACAAACTTGAATCCCACAATTTTGGTACACTCTTGATACTTACTTTGTTAATTTAATATCCAGAAGCAGAGAAAAAGATTTTTAAAGAATTCATGTATTTTCACTATACCTGGGGCCATAAAATTCACAATTTTGGAAAGGCACTCTTACTCATCATAAATATGTACTTAGTTGGTTTCTTTGAGCAGAGAAGAAGATTTTCAAAGAAATAATGCATTTTTCACTACCTACTTAGCAACTTGAACCCAGGGGCATGAATTTCACAATTTTGGTAAAGGACTCATTGCTGATTACAATCATGCAAACAGTTTGTCACCTCTTAAAGAAGAAGATTTTTAAAGATTGCATTAATTTTAGTGGTTTTGGCCCCACCCCTCAGGCCCCAGGGGGGCAAGATTTACCCATAGATGCTTTGTGCTAAATTTGGTTGAAATTGGTTCTGTGGTTGCAGTGAAATTGAAATGTTAACCACTTTTACAAAAATATATCAAACTTTACCCTTGGCCATATCTTTTGAACAGTTGGTACTAGGGCTTTCATACTTCAGTCACATGGGTATTCATTGTGACAAAGCCATTCAATGGGTAAAAATATTTTTGACCTTGTGACCTTGACCTTAGAGTTTTGCCCACTTTTAAAAAACTTTAACCTTGGCCATAACTTTTAAACAATAAGTACTAAGGCTTTCCGTATTTAACAGGTGTATTCCTTGTCAAAAGACCTTCCTTTGGATATCAACAATTTTGACTTTGACCTTGGAGTTTGACTTGCATTTTTAAAACTTCAACACTCGCTACAAGCTGCCATACAGAGGCATCGGTGTTTTCACAAACACATCTTGTTTAAATCTTTAAGTCCTTACCATGATAATAATGAGATAATTTGCTCCCTCTGAGAAATGTAAAAATAATACAACAAACAATCGTGTCAGGAGCATGGCTAGAATGGTTATCCCTGAGTACAGGTGTGTGACGGAGGGGCAGTCCGCAGCACCCACAAAACACTCAAAGTTAAAACTCAGTCTGAAAACAAAAACACCACAGCTTATTAACAGGGCTAAAATATAATACATGGGAACATATTTGAAACATATAAACAATACAGTAATTAAAATAAACATCACAGTATTTAAATATCCTCTAATTGACAGAAATACATGTTCATGTATGACTACAAAGCAAGTTTACGTAAAAAAAAAAGATGTGTTTGTGAAACACTGATGCCCCCGTATAGCAAAACAGCAAAGATTAAACTTTTCTAAAATGCAAATTAAATATATCAGTACCCACAGGAGGGTCTTCTCACAAGAAATAAGATTGTGAAATATGAAAGCCCTAGCACCACCTGTTCAAAAGGTATAGCCAAGGATAAGTTTTTGAAAGGTAGGTCAAACTGCAGGGTCAAGGTCAAAGGGTCAAAGTTGTTGGTTTCTTAAGAGAGGTTTTGTTACAAGTATTACATATGTGAAGTATGAAAGCCCTAGCCCTATACATTCAAAAGTTATGGCCAAGATTAAAGTTTTTACAAAGTAGGTCAACCTCCAAGGTCAAAGGGTCAAAGTTCTTGATATCCATGAAAGGTCTTGTCACAAGGATTAAATATGTGAAGTATGAAAGCCTTAGCCCTAGCCCTTTAAAAGTTATAGTTAAGGTTTGTTTTTTTAAAAATAGGTCAAACTACAAGGTCAAGGTCAAAGGGTCAAAGTTCTTGGTATCCAATGAAAGGTCTTCTCACAAGGATTACATATGTGAAGTACAACAAAACTTGTTTAGTACGAACACGGATATTGCGATTTCATGGATATAATGAAGTTTTCTTGGATTCTCCACTTTGAAAATTTTACAAATTCTTGATACAGATACTGTATACAGGGTTATTTTCACCCCTTGTTATTTTTGCTCTTTCACACTTGCAAATAATTTTGCCCCGTTTTAAATTCGCCCAGTAACAGTTTTGTATAAGAAATTATGCTGTGTTCTTTTAATTCGCCCCGTTTTAAATTCAGCAAATTGTAAGAAGGGCGACAGGGGCAAAAATAAAACCGGGCGAAATTTTCCTGTATATAATATAACGAATTACGGATATAGAGAAGTAATTTCACAGGTCCAAGTGACTTTGTAGTAACAGAGTTTTACTGCATGAAAGCCCAAGCCCTTACCGTTTAAAAGTTATGGCCAAGGTTAAATTTTTTTCATATGTACAGAAATCTCCAAGGTCAACGTCAATAGGTCAAAATTGATGGTCAATCAAAATGTAACAATCTGTGAGCCATGGCTCACTAGTAATACCCTAGCTCTGATGTGAATATACACTATATCACATTAATATACACAAGTTCAGTTATGGGATAAATAGGAGGTTAATATATCAAATTCATACAAAAATAAATCCCACCATATGGCATGCCTCAGCAAATAATGAGTTAGAATTTTAAGCATCTGCAATGAGTAGTTACTGAGAAAACTGTGATGAAAATTTGTTATGTATGGTACTGACAGACGCATGGATAAACAGGAAGATGACATCGGATTTGAACAAAAATGAATCCCATTGTATGGTATGCCTCAGTAAAGAACATGTGCTAAAATTTCGGGCATCTGCAGTTAGTAGTTTTTGAGAAAACTGTGACGAAAATTTGTTATGAGTGGTAGGGGCATGGATAAACACGATGATGACATCAGATTTGAACAAAAATGGATCCAATTATATAGCACGCCTCAGCAACAAATGTGCTAAAATTTCAAGCATCTGCAATGAGTAGTTGCAAAAGGTAAAAAATTTGTTACAACAACAGACAAGACAGTGGACAGATACACAATGGCTACAAAGTGAAATATGAAAGTCCTTTGGAGCAAGGGTATAAAAGCAAAAGGCCTCAAGGTTAAAGTTTTTGGCTAGGAAAAAACACAGACAGCTAGAACAGAAAGTAAACTGATGGACACAACAAAAACTATATACCCTCCCATCATAGATTAAACAAAAATGAATCTACACTACCTATTTCTCCTGTAAATATACAGTTGGCTTTGAATACATTGAAAATATAATTTAAATGGTTTCCCTATATGTTCTATGTAAAACTTTGATCAATTTTGGCCCCACCCTAAAAAATATTTGAACAAACTTTAATCTACACTACCTGAGGATGATTCCACATGAGAATCATCTTTCCTGACCCAAAGGTTCTTGAGAAGAAGATTTTTAAAGATTTTCCCTTTATATTCCTATGTAAAACTTTGATCGGTGGCCCCACCCTACCTCCGGGGGTCATGATTTGAACAAACTTGAATCTACACTACCTGAATGATTCCACATGAGTATCACATTAATTGGTTCAAGTTCAGTTAGAAGAAAAATTTTTAAAGATTTTTCCTATATATTCCTATTTAAAACTTTGAAAATGGCCCCACCCTACCCCCGGGGGGTCATGCCTTGAACAAACTTGAAACACTACCTGAGGATGATCCCAAAATTTCATCTTTCCTGGCCCATTGGTTCTTGAGAAGAAGATTTTGAAAGATTGTTCTTATATATTTCTTGGATCAGCCATTTTGGCCCCACCCTAAACCCGGGGGTCATGATTCAAACAAATTTGAATCTACACTACCTGGGGATAATTCCACTTGAGTTTCATCTTTCCTGGCCCATTGGTTCTTGAGAAGAAGATATTTTAAAGATTTTTTCTATATATTCTATGTAAAACTTTGATCGGCCATTTTGGCCCCATTACCCCAGGGGGTTTTTGAACAAACTTGAATCTACACTACCTGAATGATTTGTTTTCATGTTTGGCCCAGTGGTTCTTGAGAAGAAGATTTTTAAAAATGCCATTAATTTTTCTCTAATTCATTATTATCTCCCCTTGGAAAAGGGCCTGGCCCTTCATTTGAACAAACTTGAATTCCCTTCACCCAAGGATACTTTGTACCAAGTTTGGTTGATATTGGCCCAGTGGTTCTTGAGAAGAAGATGAAAATGTGAAAAGTTTACGACGACAACGACGACAACGACAACAACAACGACGACAGACAACGGACAAATTTTGATCAGAAAAGCTCACTTAAGCCTTCGGCTCAGGTGAGCTAAAAAGACAAACTGTACCAGTCAAATTTTATATATCATTCCAAAATCACCAAGTATGAGCTTTTAACAAATTCTTTTAATTTACCTACAAATATAAATACTTGTATACCTACATGCTGAAAATACGCATGGCATTAAGTTAAGAAGGTACACTTGATATGAGAAGAAGAGGACTTAATTACCCTTTCCAGAACATATTGATGGAGGCTGCATCCCCAAATCCAGGAATAAGATCAGTCCAGAAAAGAGCTAACAGAGATAGGAAACAAAATAAGTAGGACCAGAACATTATATACAGGGACTCCAGTGTAACATGGTCTTGTGTTCCTGAAGATTTGGCAGACTTCTCCAAAACAACATTCACTATGGTTTGTGGAATCTGAAAGTAAAAATTCTCACAGGTACTTTCATTTCCTTTTGTAAAGAGGTAATCATCAAAGCATCTGTTAGAAAATGTACTTCTGTAATGATGACATTTTATCTCAATGTAATGGCATATAATTTTGTGATGTGTCCTTATAAAAAAATAAAATTCTCATTGATAATAGTAGAAGGATAAGGTATATGTTTTTTTTAACTGATCAAATGATGAATATGTGGACTTATTTTTAATTAAAGAAAAATTCTTAAATAAAATATTTTAAGATTGCTTAACAATAAAGCACTACAAAGGTTATAACAAAGGTTGTTATGCACCATTCCTCAATATCTAGTAGATTAGACCACTGTAGGCTATAGCTTGAAACGAAACATTATAATGCAAAGATTGTATTTCAAACTACAAATTCCAGAAACTATTACATGTTCACATAGTAATACGTTCTATTTCCACTATTGAAGAGTTATAGTTCTTAGTGCGCTCTTTTGTGAAAAATTCGGAAGATATCTTGAAGATTTTTTTCTAAATTTAACATAAACATGTAAACAACACGTTGAATGTCGATGAACAAATCCTAACAAATGCATATGAAATATTTTATTGTTGTGGACTTTATTTGGATATTAATTTACATCTATTGGTGATCGTATGTATCTATTTATCGTAATGATACATTTAAAGACAAAATACATTTCGGAAATGTGCATATTTTTTCTCTAATGGACGATAAAGTTATCCCCCCTCTTTTTTCATATGTCTTTTAGTTCTTCTATTCTTTAGTTAGAATGACAAATGCACTGAACATTTAAAATTGGATTGATAATGGCATGTTTTTTATTATCCGCATTGCCATGCTGTCCCAGTCAGACGACCAAACGCATCTCTAATTCTGAAGAGTTCACTAATGGAAATACAACGTATTTGAGCAAACAAGTTAATTGATTTCTAAAATACATATATACAAGGTACACATGTATATCAAACAATATGTGCTCATAATACACAGTTTCAACTTAAAACCATCAAACATATTCTGAAGGAATATTCTTTCTGAGTGAATACTTACAAAACCCACAAAGTAGCATAGAGGCCATAGAATCCCTGCAATGCCAGAAGCTCCACCGTCATCTTTCTTTGAAGATTCATTTTCTAGATTTGGAAATATGCTTGGTATTAGAGCAATAAGCTCTGCACAGAACACCATAACAGCTGAGATTGCTTTCTGAATAGAAGGTTTCCTTCGAAGAATGATAAACCTAGTATAGTTAAAAACAAGAATAAAAATAAAAGTAATTAAAATAGGTACATGTAGCATTTTAAACCTGATCACTGATAGACCTCATAGAGTATTATACATATAGAAAGGATAATGATCCAATGAAGAACTTAAATTTATCAAGCGAGGTTTGATGAGGTGGTCAAATGAGCTATATAGTTAATTCAATCAATCATGCATATTTATAATTTGAGGATTATTTTTTCAAATCATTTTTAAATGAAGCAGCTTCATTTAAAAATGATTTGAAAAAATAATCCTCAAATTATAAATATGCATGTTCAAGCATACAAGTAAAAACAGTGGAGCATTCATTTTAAACAAGATTTTGTATTCGGTGAACAAAGGTTGATTTAATTGCCAGCTTAATTTTAGTCGATTGTAATCTATCAATTAATAGTGTTTGTTATCGACCTTACAGAAGGAGGAATATGATATAAGGCAGGTTTGATCAACAGTGGCCAGATTAACAGCTCAGTTGATATAGCACCTGACTAGTGATTCAGGAGACCCAAGTTTGAATCCTGGTTTGGTGCATATAAAAAACAAGATTTTAATATATCTGATAAAGGATCTAGAAAAATAATTATGTATATGTATCTGTGATCTAACAAACCTTGTCAAGAATGTCACAGGTATTGCAAAATTAGTTGCAAGTGCTTGTAGATATGGAGCTGTACGAGATCCATTGGCTGCATATACGAGAAAAATAGTAGACACCGCATCAGCAAGTCCGACAAAAAACAAGTCTCTTTTGCCTGAATTCACTTTTGCTTGGAACACATTTAGTACTTTTCCGAGTAATAAGATTGACGCTAATATCACTGTTGCTAGTACAAAATTAATTATGCTTACAATAAATATGACAGCGTAATTGTCTATCACATGTGCCGTTGAATTTCCACTTTTGTTGGCGGGTATCGTGGAGCTGCCAGCCATTGAATCCAACCATAATGGCGTGAAAATGGTTGATGTTGAAAGTCCAGTTACAATTCCAAATGCAAAGAAGCAGATATGTATTTTCGTTTACAAATTCCAGAAATAATGCTATAGTACATGCCCTGATTGATGATTGCATATATTTACTGAAAAAAGAGTTTTTATGTGCATAAACAACATATTTTTATTGGAAATTGTGAATATTATCAAACATTCTCAAAGAAGTTTCAAGAAAATGCCAAATAAAATATTTTTAAGGAATATTTTATTTGACAGAAAAATTACAGGGGTATACCCCAAATTTTAGGGTATAATGACCTGAATGACCTGATAAAATGAAAACCTTTAATAAAAGCAAGTTTTCATAATATTTGTTGCATTTTTCAAATCTAATTTATTTTCAGTAAGATAAATAAAGGTTTAACAAAAAGATTTTTCAAAAATATCGATTTTTAATTGCTCAAATGTGCTTTTAAAGAATTCCCTAATAATTTGATGTTCATTAATATATTCTTTTATTTCAGTCTTCATTCCATTTAAATAAATTTTTGAATGGTAAATATATGGAAAAATAATTTTAAAACTGTCAAGGTGTACATGTCTCTTTAATTCTGATTCATATTTTTAAGACCACAAAATGTATAATACACAATATCATGCATTTTATTGTAGAACTCATTGTCATGCATTTTTGCTGTGCTAAGGTTTTTTGGGCACAATAAAAATCTTTGAAGTAACTTTGAAAGCTTTGAAAAAATTAATGAACTTCGATTTTTTAATGAACAAAATTTATGAGAGACTGCATGGTAGGCAAATGTCAATTTCCAAATGCAAGAAAAAATGCAAATGTTTTAAATATACCTGGAGGAAATAAATGTTTTAAAACTTTGAGGAAGAAATTTAATTTATTTTTTTTCTTAATATTTGTATTTATTTGTATTTTCAAAACTTACAAACAGTCAGTTTACTACTAAAGTAATTTTTATTATTAAATAATATGTCGAATGAATGAAATATCTTGGGGATATAATTTCAAGTAGGATAAAAAGAATCACGAAAATTTTCAGTAAATATGAAAATTATGTAATATCTATGTACTACTTAAAAAAAAAAATTATTATTATTTACTTTTTTGTAAATTTGATAGGGATGCAAACTTCTTTGAACACGTACATGTATATGATCATATGCCAATATTCATCTGCAATATTCTATGGCAAATTGATCAATAAAAAAAAAAACAGTTTTGATATTCAAAAATTGCTTGTTTTTTATGTTTTTATTCTGTCTGATAGTGTCAAAGAGAACATAGAGGCCATACATATCCCCTTTACTACCTGGGGGTATATCCCATTTATGGCTTCTGTAATTATCACCTGTGTATTCCCAGTCAACCATGTTCTGCTGACCTCATACTTCATAAACACACCTCATAGACTCGTAACTCTCTTATTTATCCTTTAAATATTATATTAAAGACAAATTTAACAATAATAATAAAACTTTTGAATTTATATACTTTTGATAAGATTTTGATATGTCTATAACTACAAGTAGAAACAAAATTATTGGTTCATTAAAAATTGTTTTATCATTAACTAAAATTTATATTATGAACATTGATTAATCAAAATATCACGGCATTTCAAAATTTATTTTTTTTCAATTTAAATTGTTCTATTTAGGTATTTTTAAATTAAATTACATTAAAAATTTTGTTTAAGAAACATAGGTGTTGGAACGGGGAGGGGGGTTGGGGGGTTGGGTTGGTAAAGATTGAAATATAACAAAGGAATTGAACATTGGGGCGTAGGTTAAACAACCCGCCCCACCCCACCCCTTCCCAAATTTTTGATTTAGGACAATTTACTGTTTTTTTTTTCTTTTTTGTGTCGTTTAACATATGGGATCATTTGAAAATAAAAAGTTTTTTTTTCTTCAGTGAAATAGCAAGTTTTGGGATGTGTGGAAAATGAGATCTGGTTATTTAAAAATGCAAATTTTTCTTCGATTGAAACCAATAATGATTTTTAAAAAATCAGCTTTAATTTATTTATAAAAAGATATTCAACAATCAAGTCATTCCAAAATATTAGGTCATCAGATTATGTATCGGGTCATTTCAAAATATCAACAACTAGGTCATCAACTTTTTTTTACTATTATAATAAAATTCTTAAAATAATTTTCCTTTAAAAGTACATAGACTGTAAGTTCCAGTACAGAATCATCAAATATTATGAATAATTCCACCAATAATTTATTATCACATGCAAGCATGTTTTACATGATGCTATCAATATGCTTCATTTGTATATGCCTTTATTTCTTTCTAAAAAATTCACTATATATTTTTTCAAATATTTTTTTTCTAATATCTACATTAAGATTATATAACTTAAGATTATCAAGCAATTAATTAAATCACACATTTACATGTAAATCAGGTCAATCGGCATTATCAGGGCATTCAGAAATCAGGACATTATACCCGTTGCAAACTTCAAAAGCGATTTCCAACAATATACAATAGATAATTAAGCCCACACTGAATTAAACTACTTTTATATATGATCCTTAAAAGGTATAAAATCAAATTGTAAATTTTAAGTTTTGCTAAGTTGGGTTTATTAGAAGTTTTTATACTATCAGGTCATCAGGTCATTATACCCTAAAATCAGGACATTATACCCCTGTCAATTTTCCCTGTCAAATAAAACTTAATAAAAATATTTTATTTAGCATTTTCTTCATGATTCTTATAGAAAATAATGATATTAACAATTTCCATTAAAAATAACATTGTTTATGCACATAAAAACTCTTTATTTCAGTATACATATGTAATCAGGTCAATCAGGGCATTATACTATCAGGGCATTATACCTTTCCTTCAAATCATGTGACCGCAGCCTTATCATGTGATCTACTTTCGCTTTGGAAAAAACAATGTCAAGTGCGTAAAATCATAAAAATGTACTAAAAACTTTGTCAACTTTTTTTGACATGTTTAACATTGTACCCTGTTATTAATACGTAATTTTAAGACATTGGATTACATGGATTTTTAGTCTGTAACAGTAATTTATATATATGGTCAAAAAGTCACGTGACTGAAGTTATCGCTGTCCAGTTTGCAGAGGTAGTGAAACTCAAATGGCTTGCACAAAGAAGTACAGATTTCTTTTGAGCAAATATTTTGTACGTCCTTACAGTGCAAAAGATATCGCGAGGACAGCAGCATGCATCCACTGGCTGCAGCAACGACAGCTGACAACGAAATTCCCCGAATTTCAGAATGACCAAAACCTGCGGGGTCATGACCAAATTTATAACTTCAGCTTGGAGAATCCCGATAGGTTTTGGAGCACTCTCGCCAGATCTCGATTACAATGGGCTAGGGATTTTGAAACTGTTAAGGACTGTGATATTAGAAAGGGGCATATACGATGGTTTTTGGGAGGCCAGCTGAATGCATCAGGTAATTGGCACAAAATTACAATATTAACGCCGCAAAGGGGCTTAGACACAGAATAGAGGTTTAAATAATTATATTTTCAGTATTATATCACGACTAACGTGTTGCCAGAGTATTTCACATTGAATTATTATGAAAATGTGTTAATTAAGAATTTTTATGTCACCTTCACTTCATAATAATCTGAAATTGAATCTGATAAAAAATTGTAAATTAAAGGGCAATATGCAACTATGTTCAGGTCCCTTCAAGGGTTTTGAATAACATGAAAATTGCAGGGTAAACAAAGATATAAGTAAACTATGCAATTGATAAAAATTATGGAGTTCACAAATTACTATTAGAAAGTAGGAAAAGAATTAAGGGGTCAACAGTAATTAATAATAAATGTCATAAATTCACACAGGGATGAAAGGTTAAGAGCTAACAGTACTTAATTCATACTTTAAACAATGCTTGTAATGCTACCTTTTATGGATATCATTATCTTTATTAACTCGATCATAATCACAAATCATGGCCAATTTATGTATGATCCTCTCCAATTTTGGCCGGTAGGAAAGGGCTATGAACAAACTCTGGACCATAGCTTGAAAAGATGGTTAAAATTGTTAGTCTGAACAATTCCCAGTAGGGTAAAATTGCAATTGGTTGCCAATATGGCACAGTGGTTAGAGCATCTGCTCTTAAATCGCGGATTAAGGAGCTGATCCTTATGTTGCATGTTCAAATCCCACTGTATAAAATCAATCAATCAATCAAATCCCACTGGGGGACTTGGAGACTGATCTTTCGAATGCGAATATATAAACTGAGATTCCACAAACAAACAATATTCCAGTTGCCTCACATTTACTCTTACATAGAGTTTTCACTACCAGAATTGATGCTACAGCTAGGCTTAAGATGATGCACATATTAATTTTATCCATGTTTTAATACGGAGAGCAAACTTAGCATGCATTCTTATATAGATATCTCTATGATGTTGCATAACAGAAATGAATTAAGGTATAAATGTTGACGTGGGATGTTGCTTGTGACATTATTTTACAAACATTCCAATTTCTATTTAGGAAGTTTTGTTCAGTACCTAACTATTACCTTAAATAAGTTTATAATTTTCATAGATGTCAATGCAGATGATCAAGTGCGAATAAGTACTGGTATACATGTGCATAAATTTTCATCATATATATGTTAAACTAGAGGTAGTGTGAGCAATGAGCTCACTAAATGATACATCCCACCTCCCATAGGAGTTTAATGGCAGTGTCCATGTTTTGCTTTGGTAAACCCAAAATATGTGTTGAATCAAAAAGTAAAATAGGAGGTGCACAATGGCAATATGTAATAAAGATTCTGTGAAAGTTTCATCAAAGAACTATATGCGGTATATTGCATATATTTGCCCCCACAAAAGTCAAATTTTGAAAACTTCCTGAAATGTGCTGAATTCAATAAATTGTATGAGAAATACAAATTAACAGAAAATATTATAGTGTCAAAGCAGTGTATTCACAGTTTTTGTTTTTATGACGTCACAAACTAGTCTGATTTATATCCTTTTTTCAGAAAGAGGACAAAATGGACAAAATTTCAACAATTTTATCTTTTAAATTTATAGAGCGCAAGTTTGTTCAGGAACAATATTGACATATTTCATTGATATTATCATTCTACACATTATATCAAAATATTGATCCTGAACACACATGCACTCGGTGACTTTTACTCAAAATATCGACGAAATATGTACATTTTTCTGTAAAATTCATAAAAAACGAAAATATACGTCATGTTTGTGACGTCATTACGTACATATGGCGTCATTACTTATGAAAATATTCAGTGCTTTGAAGTCAACATGTACTCCCCTGTTCAAGAACTTAATTAAATATATCTCCATCAAAGTTTGATTTGGGGGGCAAATATTGGTTATTACCGAATAAAGTTCTTTCATTCAGTGATATGAAAGGTGTTGCGGATAAGAGATGGGTACCCCAAAGCGTAACAGACAGACGGATGGATGTATGGACAGCTAGACGGACATACCATATACCCTCCCGCTTTTCAAGCAGGGGTTATAATTAGGCAATATTATATTGGCTTAAAAATAACATTTTGAGCAGTAAAAAATAATCATTTTTTCCAGCCCTATTAATCAAATAGTGATAACCTAGCTGATACAAGTGCATAGTATAAATTTTCATATAACATTTACTTGTAGAATTATAGTTTCTGTTTAACAAATTTTACGTGAATTACAAAGTTTATAAATTTTATGAATTAGACTTTGAGCCTGAATATTTAAATACCAGAAAATACTGGTAATGGGTTATATTTTTTTAATACTTCCTAGTGATTTATCTAAGCTTAGACTGTGTACTTTGATCCTAGACTAGCTTGTCCTTATAAACATGATAAATAATAAAAGAATTTTTTTTAAATCACCTAATTCAGTCAGGTGATTTATCAATGTTTTTTGTTATGCATATAAATTTCTCCTCACTTATTTCAGCAATCTAAAGTAGTGTACATTCATGCTTGTTCATGTTTTGCCCCTCGTGCATAAATCACCTCATAGGGAATTCAACATTTCATTAGATACGGCCAAACCATGGACTGAGAAAAAAAGAGATATTCTATGATTCGATCAAGAGAACAAGATTAAATTAGAACATGAAGAAAATGCTTGAGTTTAAATAAAGGGTTTATATAATACAGTTGAACTTCGGTATCTCAAACTCTGATATCTCGAATACCATGGATATATCAAAGTGATTTGGAAGTCCATACCGTATTCTTTAAGTATTTTACCTTCGATATCTCGAAATCTCAGATATCTCTCAGTTTTTTTCTCAGTCCCATCAGGTTCAAGATAACATTTTGACTGTATATTTTTTTCAAAATTTTAATATTTTAGTTTGATTGTTTAAAACATGTTCATGAGTGTCAAAACCTCCTATTTACACATCAGCGCATTTATTTTTAGCTCTACTGGTCAGAGACCAGAAGAGCTTATGCGATAGTAATGCGTCCGGCGTCCGTCCGTCTGTCTGTCTGTAAACAATATTTCAAAACGCTACTCCTCCTACAATTTAAGTCTGATTCCAATATTACTTGGCACACAAGTAGACTACACTAAGATACATAGAATAGTGCATCGATTTTTGATTTCGATGAACGGTGTTGCCATGGTTACTAAAAATAGAATTTTCTGTGAAATTCCTTAAAAACGCTACTCCTTCTACAGTTTTGGTCTGATTTCAATATAACTTGGCACACAAGTAGACTACACTAAGATACATAGAATAGTGCATCGGTTTTTGATTTCGATGACCTACATTTTATGTTGCCATAGTTACTAAAAATAGAATTTTCTGTGAAATTCCTTTAAAACGCTACTCCTTCTACAGTTTTGGTCTGATTTCAATATAACTTGGCACACAAGTAGACTACACTAAGATACATAGAATAGTGCATCAGTTTTTGATTTCGATGAACGGTGTTGCCATGGTTACTAAAAATAGAATTTTCTGTGAAATTCCTTAAAAACGCTACTCCTTCTACAGGTTTGGTCTGATTTCAATTTAACTTGGCACACAAGTAGACTACACTAAGATACATAAAATAGTGCATCAGTTTTTGATTTCGATGAACGGTGTTGCCATGGTTACTAAAAATAGAATTTTCTGTGAAATTCCTTAAAAACGCTACTCCTTCTACAGTTTTGGTCTGATTTCAATATAACTTGGCACACAAGTAGACTACACTAAGATACATGGAATAGTGCATCGGTTTTTGATTTCGATGAACGGTGTTGCCATAGTTACTAAAAATAGAATTTTCTGTGAAATTCCTTTAAAACGCTACTCCTTCTACAGTTTTGGTCTGATTTCAATTTAACTTGGCACACAAGTAGACTACAGTAAGATACATAGAATAGTGCATTGATTTTTGATTTCGATGAACGGTGTTGCCATGGTTACTAAAAATAGAATTTTCTGTGAAATTCCTTAAAAACGCTACTCCTTCTACAGTTTTGGTCTGATTTCAATTTAACTTGGCACACAAGTAGACTACACTAAGATACAAAGAATAGTGCATCGGTTTTTGATTTCGGTGAACGGTGTTGCCATGGTTACTAAAAATAGAATTTTCTGTGAAATTCCTTTAAAACGCTACTCCTTCTACAGTTTTGGTCTGATTTCAATTTAACTTGGCACACAAGTAGACTACAGTAAGATACATAGAATAGTGCATCGGTTTTTGATTTCGATGAACGGTGTTGCCATGGTTACTAAAAATAGAATTTTCTGTGAAATTCCTTAAAAACGCTACTCCTTCTACAGCTTTGGTCTGATTTCAGTATAACGTGGCACACAAGTAGACTACACTAAGATACAAAGTGCATCGGTTTTTAATTTCGATGAACGATGTTGCCATGGTTACTAAAAATAGAATTTTCTGTGAAATTCCTTTGAAATGCTACTCCTTCTACAGTTTTGGTCTGATTTCAATTTAACTTGGCACACAAGTAGACTACACTAAGATACATAGAATAGTGCATCGGTTTTTGATTTCGATGAACGGTGTTGCCATGGTTACTAGAAATAGAATTTTCCGTTAAATTCCTTTAAAACGCTACTCCTTCTACAGTTTTAGTTTGATTTCAAAATAAGTTGGCACACAAGTAGACTACACAAAGAAACTTAAAATAGTGCAATGGTTTTTGATAAGTACAAACCAGTAGAGCTACAGTCTCGACAGAGACTTCTGGTTTTTGAAGTTTTAACTTTCTACTATGTTTTTCATGCAAACTTTTTATGCGCCCGGATCGATAGATCCGAGGCATATATTGTTTTTGTCCTGTCTGTCTTTTTGTCTGTTTGTTTGTTTGTCTGTTTGTCTGCAAACTTTATCCATCGCCATAACTTTTGAACCACGAAAGATAGAGACTTTATATTAAGTAAGCATACTCCACTTATTAAGCTCTTTCAAATGACAACAAGGTCAATGACCTTGTGATCTTGACTGTGGCCTATATGCTAAAAATAGCTTTTTTTCTCCAAATTTTAACCTTCACCATAACTTTTGAACCATGAAAGATAGAAACTTCATATTTGATAAGCTTACTCCACTAATCAAGTTCTTTCAAATGACACCAAGGTCAATGACCTTGTGATCTTGACTGTGACCTATATGCTAAAAATAGCTTTTTTCACCTTTGTTGCCGCCGGGCACATAGTGTTTCAAAAACACATCTTGTTAACCTAAGTTTTATTTGTTCTTTTAATTTTCTGTTTTAAAGGAATATAAATTCTTTATTACAAACTCATCGAAACTTGTATTAAGCAGCTTTAATCTTATTTTATATGTTATATCTGTGCTTAATTAATTCTTATAGTCTTATTAGCTTTTTATGACTGGTAAATTTTGAATATACATTTGTATATGTTATTCTTAGTTAGAGTTATTGTTTTTAATTTGGATTTCGATTTGTATCACTGTATTGTATTGCTATATCTTGTTTGTTGTAAAGCACTTTTGAACATTTCCATGAAAAAAGGGCTATATAAATCTGGTAAAATAAAAAATAAAATAAATAATCAAATTATCAAAGTCAATGTGAAATATGACTTTTTCAGTGAATTGTGTTGATCGGCATCTTGACAGTCTTGGAGATTCTGATGCTTTGATTTGGGAGAAAGACGAGCCAGGCACAGAGGAGCATGTCACATACAAGTTAGTATCGATTACGGAAATAGTCACATACAAGTTAGTATCGATTATGGAAATGGTCACATACAAGTTAGTATCGAATACAGAAATAGTCACATACAAGATAGTATCGAATACGGAAATAGATCATCTGTCAGTCTCCAGTACTGAAATACTTTCACTGTCAGTCTTGAGAACCAAAATAGTTTTACTGTCAGTCTTTAGTTCTTAAATAGATCTTTTGTCAGTCTTGAGCTAGGAAATAGATTCACTGTCAGCATGGTCAGTCTTGAGTTCTGAAATAGATTCTCTGTCAATCTTGAGTTGAGTTAAACGTATATTCAGTGCTGAAAGTCTTTATATTCACAATTTTTTTTCTCATTTCCAACAGGCAACTATCGCAAATGGTGAACAGAATCGCCAACATGCTGAAGAACCATGGAGTGAAGAAAGGAGACAGAGTTGCCATCTATCTGCCCACCTCCCCTGTTGCCATCGCGGCCATGTTGGCATGTGCCAGGATAGGGGCAGTCCACAGTGTTGTGTTTGCAGGATTCAGTGCTGAGGCATTGGCAGGCAGAATCCTGGATGGTAGATTTTGCTTACTGATTTGCTTACTTCTATCCTGAAATGGAAACCTTTAATGTCGGTTTAATAACCTGCTTCAGTTTTGTTAAGGTAACTTTTTTCTTTGATAGTGATATGATCTGTTAATTTGTACTCTTGTCATTTATTCCTTTTAGCCGATGCAGAGACAGTGATCACTGCAGATGAGGGTGTACGTGGAGGTCGATCCATTCCGCTAAAGAAAACTGTGGATGAAGCGGTATCTCAGTGTCCCTGTGTCAAACGAGTGTTTGTTTATCAGCGGACAGGAAATGGATCATTAGGCAAGAATGACTTCTCCTTGGACGAAGTATGTATTCTGATTGATATATAACAATTTATTTGTATGCTATAAAATCAATTATTATCATGGGGCCTTCATCTGAGGAAAAAATACTGGTTTTTAGTGATCTGATTTCATGGTTGAAAAGGCAGACTGAATTTATAGTTATAAAAGTTTTAATTTATTTGATACAGGTATTGATATTGAACAATTATCCCCTAAAATAAAAGAATCTTTACTTTTTGTATACCCTTTAATTCTAATTTAGAATAACATAAGTTTGTAATAGATTATTTCCAGCTTTACTGGACAGGAATTATGAAACAATTATTTAAACTGTGAAAGTCAAACTATGCATGTTGTGCTGAAATGTACTCACAATGTGAGTACAAATAAATACATAAAATGCAGATTTGTTTTCTCCTCAGGAAATGGCCAAGGAGTCAGATATTTGTGAGCCAGAGAAAATGGAGAGTGAAGATTACTTGTTTATGTTGTACACCTCAGGGTCAACAGGAAAACCCAAAGGCATTGCCCATTCCACTGCTGGGTACCTGTTGTATGCTCTGATGACTCAGAAGGTAACTTTCTAACTGTACCTTATATCATTGCTCCCCTCACTCTTTACACAAAAACATTAATACATTTACTGGAACAGGTAAATGTTTATAACTGAATGCATGAGATGACCTGGGTCTCACTAGTTTTAAGCATTTATCACATTTGAACTTAATATTCACCCATTATACCAATATACAGAGTGTATAGAGCTTGTTGAACGATTTCATTGAAATTTAGATTTTGAGCACATAACTATTTTCTCTGTACTGAAATTAACTTTATTTTGAAAGCATGCATATATTTTACTACAGATTTGGGGAGAGATTTGGGTGTGTGGCAGACATTGTATAAAATGATTGACTTTGTTTTGCCTCATGTATTTGACTACAAAGTTGGAGAGAGATTTGGGTGTGTGGCAGACATTGTATAAAATGATTGACTTTGTTTTGACAGCATGTATTTGACTACAAAGTTGGAGAGAGATTTGGGTGTGTGGCAGACATTGGCTGGATCACCGGACACAGTTACGTGGTGTATGGACCGCTACTTAATGGAGCCACCACAGTCCTCTTTGAAAGTACCCCAATTTACCCTGATGCAGGTCAGTGAAAATGGGCAAAAAGTAAATAAAAATGACATTATACAGTTGATATTTTATGACAGTGTAAACTTCATGTATTGGTTCCATCTTCACTTAGTAGTGTTGTTATGATAGATGCCGGCTATCAAAAAATTGTCGCTGAAGGCAGCACATTGGCGACAATTGATAGAAAATTTTAAAATCAATTCACTAAAAATTTTTAAAACAGATTGGTTTATCTTTAAAATTTATCAAAGGACAATCCTATATTTCAGTTATTTCAATTGTACAAAATGTTTTTTAATCCAAATTGTTGTCTAATCCGGCAAATATCTCTGGAACCAGTGATGGTCAGATTAGACAAGTTTTACTGTATATTCAAATGCCATGTGTTTTCGCACTGATTTCCCAAGAACGTTTTTCCATATAAAATTCTCTTTATAACGCCAAATTCGCAGATACCCTGTTTTCACAACAAACGTCCATTTTTAAGTGTCAATTATCTCGAGAGACAGGTGCATGTGGTCAGTGAAGCGCGGCTAATTGGTTGACGCAATCCCTGTTTTAAAGCATTCAAAGCCAGTCAAGGTTCATGCAATTAAGTAAATTAAATTAACAATAATTTTAACATGAACTGTTAGAATAATTTTGTTTTCTGTTTAATAAAATAATTTATAAGTCAACGCTTCGCCACGAAAGCGGTCGTTGTAAATTAAAGTACGCCGATAACGATATTATTTTGATGATCTCTGCTTTTAAAACAATGCAAAGTTTGCTTAAAAAATAATTATAAGTCAGAAATTGTGAGTTTCATTAACAATGATTTCATAAACAATGAATTTATTCAGGAAGCTATTTTGGATGTGGCTATATATCACGACGGGCATTTTTTTTTCAAAACGTACATGCATACACATTTACTTGTCTTAATTTCAACTGTATATTGTTTTATTGTATTAAAAAAATTACTTGAAGTATTTTCAAATTTAGAAATATGTTTATATATACATGTACATGTGATAATAAGAATAGAAACGCTAAATGGTATTTCTAAGAACGATAACTCTGTGTCTTATTTCCTAAAAGATGGAAAATTCAATTCATCGCCAAATTCGTTATACCGCCATGATCTCTAAATTACAAAAGTATATATGTGTTACTTAACAAGTTACAAGTGTGAATATGTACCTGGCCCCCACAGCTCTACAAATACTGATATGTTCTAGGATGTGGTAAGAAATTGATTATATTGATATTTTCTTGCTTCTTATTTTATTAAGTCTCTTACTAATTAAAAAAGAACCTCTGGTTAATTTAAATATTTACATGCATATGGATATTGCTTTTATGTCAAAACATATTCATTGTCTATATTTCTCCTAATTTTTTCAGTTGGGGAGCCACTGAACCATGAAGCCTTTGAGTGGTACCGCGATGTGGTGGGGGAGGGGAGATGTGATGTGGTGGACACGTGGTGGCAGACAGAGACCGGTGGAATCTGCATCACGCCCCGCCCCTCAGAGGCGGGGGCCCCAATCCTGGCAGCCATGCCAATGAGGCCTTTTTATGGAATTGCTCCTGTACTATTGGATCAGAATGTAGGATATATTTGTACACCAGTGTTTACATGAATTTTTGTATTGTTTAAGTTTCTTCCTGCTTAAATTGTTAAACACTATATTTTGTGAAAATTTAAGAGAGATAATTTATTCCATTAGGGAGTACTGAACTAACAATCTGATGTTTTCCTGTAATTCTTTTGCTAATTGTCCTCTGATGTTATAATCATTAAGTTAACAAACATTTTTGTAATAACTAGGGAAAAGAAGTAGCTGGCAATGATGCTAAAGGTGCCCTGTGTATCAAGTCAGTGTGGCCAGGAATGGCCCGGACAATTTATGGTGACCACAAGCGATTTCTGGACACCTATTATAATCCATACCCAGGTATCATGATTACCCATAATTCCCCCTGTACATTCCCTATACATTCTTCCTTTCTCTTTTTTTATCATTATTTATTGCTATTTATAGGATATTACTTCAGTGGAGATGGAGCCAGGAGAACAGCTGATGGGCACTATCAGATAACAGGACGGATGGACGATGTTCTGAATATTAGCGGACACAGGCTGGGTACAGCTGAAATTGAGGATGTATTGGTATGTTTAATGACTCGAGGTGCTGTTTAATTAATTTTTAAGTTTTTGTGTTCCTCCTTGATGCAAAGGTATTTATTATCTTTATGTCCATTCTTCCCATAACTGTTTGTTCATCACACTTCTGTTTCAAAGAAAACTTTTAAAGATATTTTCGTATTACTGGTACACTGTTACAAAGGGAAAAATGACATGCATTATTTCCTGACTTTGACCTTCCTTATGACTTAACCTTACTATTAGTTTCTTACTTATTGCATTTAGCACAATTAGGAAGAAACTGCTCATAAAAAAATTTTCAGTATTTTAATCACAAGCTCTTTTTGCTCCATATAGACTTGGTCAGATTACTAGTATGTTATATGAGTCAGAGAAGCTGTTTATTTTGCTGTGTTTTAATTTTAAAACTCTTCATTTCTATAAAGGATGACCAGGAAGAAATAGCAGAATCAGCTGTTGTAGGGTATCCTCATGACGTCAAGGGAGAAGGCAAGTAGTCAAAGGGAAATAATTCAAATAAGACCTGCCTACCCTTCCGCTTTTGGCGTAATTTTTCCACTTTTAACCACGAAATTCCATTACGCCACTGATATTAATTTTATGCTTTTGATATTTTGGTTTAAAATTCTTTATGATTTAGAGTTAAATGAGTTTTGTATGAAAATTTTTGTGTTAGTAGTTACAAGCAAACTGGTACGGCGAAGATTCGAAAGAAGACGAGAGGGCACTACTTACGTTAACTATTGAATGATATTGCAATAAGGACAGCAATTTTTATGCTCAACTTAGTTTATTTTAACATTGCTATAGAGAAATGCGAGTGTTAAAAAGATGTAGTACAAGGTTATAATGAACGATTTGTGTAAACTTGCAAACGCAAGCCTGCAATTAAATGACTTGATACAAATTGACCAAAGTCTTCATTAAGGATGTAGGGTTGAATTGAGTTTGATATAGGATATTGGAATTTTACATTTTTTGCCAAAAGATGATTCGAAAAAGAAAATTTTATGCCATCTTTGCTTAGTAATGTACAATGTTGGTTGTTTGAAAGAAATAAAGTACATGAATAATAGTAAAAACAACAAATGAGGAAAACATGATTGATTACGCTTTTACCTCTAAAATTCCACCAAAAATTTACGGAAATTACACCCTTGCAATGAAAAGGGTAGGCAGGTCTGAAATAAGGCTAAGATCAAAATCTAGAGTGGAGAATATTCCATCATAAGAATTTGTTGTAACGATTGCAATATAATTGTTTTGTATATTTTTGTGTTTGTGAATGTGAGGTAGTGTTTTTCGTTTTAGGTATTTATGCGTTTGTGGTTCTGAAGGGTGAGTCTCACAAGGCTGATGACAAGTTAGCGGAGGAAATGAGAGTCATGGTGAAGACCAGGATTTCTTCATTCGCACAGCCAGATAAAATTCTGGTAGATATTCTCCGGTGTTAAAAATAATTATTTGGGTATATATAATACGAAGGTCAATATCTACAAGTATTTATTCAGAAGTAGGACTTTGAAATATGATTTGATTCAATTGTCACTCTAGGACTTATGAGCTTGATTATATACTGTTAGTTATTTCGATATCCATTCAATCATAAAAAATGAATTTCAGTTCACTCCTGGGCTTCCTAAGACAAGATCTGGTAAGATCATGAGGAGAATACTGAGGAAGATCGCGGCAGATAAACCTGACGAGCTCGGAGACACTTCCACGCTGTTTGATCCATCTATTGTCGATGCCATCGTAAACAAACATCAAACTGTCTACGGAACAAAGAAGGACTGAGTGGCCCTTAATAGTGGGTTAAATACAGACTGTGGATATTCTCAGTTATGTAGAGGCCTTTATTAATCTTTGAATGATTTTTACAATTTATTGATAATTGTTGTAGATTAGCATGTTTTAGAAAAATCAGTATTAAAACAGGGATCTGATGATTTATATATTCTTTAGGCTGTGGTTGGAACTCTTTTTTATTCAATGTTATTTAAATGTAGGCTACATGATTGATATAGCAACTTCTTTTTTTTTATATTATATATATCATTTCGTACAGCACAATTTTTTTTTATAAAACTGTCTTATGAATCTAAGAGGTTAAATGTTTGATTGATTGATTGAAACCTGGTTTTGGATGAGATAGATGCAATATTTTTTTTACATCCAATTTTTGATAAAACTGTCTTATGAATCTTAGACGTTAAATGTTTGATTGATTGAAACCTGGTTTAATTTGCATAAGATATTTTTTTTTTTACATCTTGATTGCTTTTAAAAATAAATGAAATGATAGTTTTATGCATTCAAAATGCTTTCTATAGTGCATATCCAAGATAAATGTATATGTTTGTGGCCATTATTTAAACAAATTAAATCACAATGGGAAATTTTTCTTGTATGAAAATGGAAAATTTTGTATACCGGTAATGCAAAAAAATGTTAAATAGAGGGTGGTTTATGCTACCAGTAAAAAAAATGCCAATCAAAGCATGCAATACAATAAAACTTCATGAAAGCAAACATAGTTATTTACAAATTTGTGCTTACAATAAAGTTACATGTATATGTAATCATCCACTGCTTGAAAAAAAGAGCAAATAAGTGGACATAACCAAAACTGAAAGTAACCAAGCAAATTCTGCTGTCCTTGACAATCCCTATAATTGGTTTACTTATACATTTATTTGGAATACAGTATTTTTTTTTAAACTATGCATGCTCTTCCTGTTCCTTGGAATATGATAAATTCGTTGAAAAACAGCTTTAATTTTCTATATTTGAAAGTATTAATTATTGTCACCATTTCAATGCATCAGTCTATGTACTTGAACATGTATAATTTTTTTATGAAACTTATATGTTATTTTGAAATAATTTTCTAAGAGTTCTTTATATTATTTAATATTGTAATACTGAGTGCTAATGAAGAAAAGAATTTCCTTAAATATTTTTGAAATTTTCTGCCACCATAAATTTTTATACAACACATGTTCATTAATTATCAAATTTTTATGTAGTTAATTGTTATAGTTTGTTAGAAATCCTTATAAGATTTGTTACTGTTAAATCAGAAGTCATTGATTGATAAATTTACACTTGTATATATATTAAAGTTTAAATTTTGTTTTTATAAAAATAGTCATATAGAAAATTTTCTGTTAAATAGCAAAACAATGTTTTTATTGTTTTTACAGCATGCACCCCTGATATCAGTGTGTAATGAATGTTTTTTATTCAAGACCTTGTTTTTTATGTAGTTAATTGTTATAGTTTGTTAGAAATCCTTATAAGATTTGTTACTATTAAATCAGAAGTCACTGATTGATAAATTTACACTTGTAATGAATTTTGTTTTTAAAAATGATTATAGAGCAAGATTATTGTAATGAATGTTTTGTATTCAAGACCTTGTTTTCTTAGTCCATGTGACGATCGTTTTTAAAATTAAGCAAGATTATGGATTAGACATCCAGATTAGTCAAGTTTTACTGTTTATGCTGAAGGTCTCTTACAGGAAGAATTTTGTATTCATGGACTTTTTTGTGGATCGCTTGCATGCTTTTTCTGCCTGTTAGTTTAAGGTGCTGCTTGTTAAATGATTTTTTATAACAAGAACAAAATGTTTATTTTCCACAATGTATTCAAGCTACACTTTTGAAATTTTTGTTGATATAGATTTTAGTGAAACTGTTAAAGCTTTGTATTTTTTTTTTTTTACACATGTGGTAAAATACTTGTCAGATAAAGGTGCCTGTAAAAGTTGTACTAGTTGTCTTATGGTAGTCTTTTATTAATTTGAAATAAAACGAACAGCATTACTTTATATTACCAAATTAGACATCTCAGTGTGAACTATGTTAACAGAGAGTAGGTTGTATAATTTGTATCACTGATGATTTCTGTGTTATCATAACCTAACTTTTCCTCATCCTGCTACATACATGTACCTGTAAGCTTGCTTATTGTATTCTATCTGTATTTGAATTTGTATACATAGTATATATCATATACAAGTAGCAAAATTTTTATATAAAATCTGGTTATGGATGAGAATAATTGTTGCTTATAGAGATTGTTGCTTTTGTGTACCATAGAATGATGTTACCATAGAATGATGACATATTAACTGCAAATAATAGATGTATTCTGTAGGAATTTTGTTGGTGTAATGTGGACTCTTTTTTTAATATTCTTTACATACACTTTTTTATATGCATTATGAATCAATGGGTTTATACTTGTTTGTCATAAAGCAACGATGTTAAAAATAATGCAACAATTGATTTGAATTCCTTGAATATGTCTGACAGCTAGTGTTGAAAAAAGTATCTATACAATGGTAATTATTAAATATATCCTAGACCTATGTTTTAAAGTTCTTTGTGCACTTCAGCCATTTAAAGGCTCAAAATATTTTTAGCTCGATCATCTTGGAAAAAAAGTCAAGTTTATGCTGCATTCTATTCCTGTGTAAGATTTAGGAACAATTCCATTCCCAACTTGAATGGATGATAATCTAGAGATAACACTCTACCAGCATCTAACTTATTTTTTTTTCAGATGAGTGATGGTTAAAGTTTTAGAGCACACGAAATTTTTTGGAGCAGGTCTCATTCATAAATATCAGTAACTTTCTATGATAACTTGCAGAGATGAAGATGCACATAAAGATATACACACTTGCTTCAGATGCTGGAAATGTCTAGATGAGAGTAATGAGTGAATAGGTCTAGAATTTTGGAGCAAGTTCATTATAAGTAACTACTGGAGTATTGGTCATTTAGGTATGCTTCTGAGACTGGATGGAACCTACACATTATGGCCAATTAAGCAGTTGAATTTTTTGGATAAGGTCCATCGAGTAATTTTAATTCAATCCTACTCAGACAAGAATTCTGTAGATGATGCAGTCATAGGGAAAGACACTACCAGAGCACTTGTTTGATGTGAAAATTTGCTCTACTAAACAAGGGTTGAGAAGAGGTTTAAAATGTTTTCAAATGTGTTTTAATAAAACCTGCATGTTTATATTTTTTAAATTTTCAACTCCAGAATTATGGGATCATTGTCAAGCAAACTGTGTGAAGAAAGGATCAATTTTTACTTCAGAACAAAGGGGCTTAGGCACCTTCCCAGCTCAGGCTCTGTAAGACAGAGCACTTGATTCTCCTAAATCAAACTGGGATCCACAACCTTCTGAAGTTTTCCTGAAACTTTTATCATCATCAAAGCACATACTCACAATTCCGTAGACAAATGACAGCTTCGATAGTCAAGAGGCCCATGGGCCTTATAGGTCACCTGAGCATCATGCAACAACTTTCCAATGATTGAGTTTGGTTCATGTTTTAAACTAGCATGGCATTCAAAATTTTGAAAAAGGAACCATTACTCATCATAACTAGATTTAACATATTTTCACTATAATCAATAGAGCCCCACCTTAACACAAGAAAACTTTACCCTGGGGCCATAAAACTCACAATTTTGGAAGAGGCATTCTTGCTCATCATAACTATGTACTTAGTTAGTTTATTTAATACCCAGGAGCAGAGAAGAAGATTTTCAAAGAATTAATGTATTTTCACTATATAATCAACAGAGCCCCACCCTAACACCAGAACCCCTGACCCAGGGGCCATGAAATTCACAATTTTGAAAGAGACATTCTTGCTCATTATAACTATGTGCTTAGTTAGTTTATTTAATACCCAGGAGCAGAGAAGAAGATTTTCAAACAATTTCTGCATTTTCTCTATATAATCAATAGAGCCCCACCCTAACACAAGAACCCCTGACCCTGGGGCCATAAAATTCACAATTTTGGAAGAGGCATTCTTGCTCATTATAACTATATACTTAGTTAATTCATTGAATACCCAGCAGCAGAGAAGATTTTCAAACAACTTCTGCATTTTCTCTATATAATCAACAGAGCCCCGCCCTAACACAAGAACCCCTGACCCTGGGGCCATAAAATTCACAATTTTGGAAGAGGCATTCTTGCTCATCATAACTATATACTTAGTTAGTTCGTTGAATACCTAGGAGCAGAGAAGAAGATTTTCAAACAATTTCTGCATTTTCTCTATGTAATCAACAGAGCCCCACCCTAGCACTAGAACCCCTGACCCTGGGGCCATAAAATTCACAATTTTGCAAAAGGCATTCTTCCTTATCATAAATATGTACTTGGTTAGTTTATTTAATATAGTTTATTTAATATACAGGAGCAGAGAAGAAGATTTTTAAAGAAATAGTCAATTTTCACTATATAATCAATAGAGCCCCGCCCTAGCACTAGAACCCCTGACACTGGGGCCATAAAATTCACAATTTTGTAAAAGGCATTCTTCCTCATCATAAATATGTACTTGGTTAGTTTATTTAATATACAGGAGCAGAGAAGAAGATTTTTAAAGAAATAGTCCATTTTCACTATATAATCAATAGAGCCCCGCCCTAGCACTAGAACCCCTGACCCTGGAGCCATAAAATTCACAATTTTGTAAAAGGCATTCTTCCTTATCATAAATATGTACTTGGTTAGTTTATTTAATATACAGGAGCAGAGAAGAAGATTTTTAAAGAAATAGTCCATTTTCACTATATAATCAATAGAGCCCCGCCCTAGCACTAGAACCCCTGACCCTGGAGCCATAAAATTCACAATTTTGCAAAAGGCATTCTTCCTCATGATAACTATGTACTTAGTAAGTTTATATAATACCCAGGAGCAGAGAAGAAGATTTTTAAAGAAACAATGCTTTTCACTATATAATAAATAGAGCCCCACCCTAGCACTAGAACCCCAACCCTGGGGCCATGAATTTCACAATTTTGGTAGAGGACTCAATGGTCATTACATTCATGCCAACAGTTTGCCTGCTTGATGTCCAGGAGTAAAGTAGAAGATTTTTAAAGATTGCACTAATTTTAGTGGTTTTGGCCCCACCCCTCAGGCCCCAGGGGGGCAGGGACCATGAAATTCACAATTTTTGTTCCCCTTCACCCATAAATGCTTTATGTAAAATTTGGTGGAAATTGTTGAGTGGTTGCAGAGAAGAAGCTGAAAATGTTCAAATGTTAACACACGACGCACGACGAACGATGCACGACGACGGACAAAAACAGATAGCCAGGTGACCTAAAAATCTTGATAAAGCTAAAGAGATATTGAACAAATTAGGTAAAAAGAATGTAAGCCCTACAAAAAATCTTCCCAAATCTTTTTTTATGGGGAATAAAAACTGATAAAAACAATATGTATCTCCTCCCCTTGATCAGATAATAAAATGTCCCAGACCTGAAGGGTTAAGAAAGACAAATTTACTTGAACATACAAGTAATACTTTAATACATATTTTTGACAATTTATGTCACATTTCAGTCATTTCACATCCATAAAAAAAATGCCTAACATTTTCATTTCTCAATATTTTGGTGTACTTGATTCCATGATTTTGCAATTTTTAAAAGAATTCATACATTTTTATATATAAATTTTCATAATCATGACAATTGTGCTTCCAAAAAGAATTGGTGATGACATCCCATTTCTCTCTACAATTGTCATTATGGACACAACGATCCTTAAAATGGATCTTAACAAATCTAGTTAAATGTCCTCCTAAGTAAAATGGCAATCATCAACTCTTTCCAGCCATTGTTTTATATGGTGAGTCATCTGTATGCTGTAAATGGTGCTCCTGGAATCGGGTAGATATCCTCTGTGTGGACTTCAAATATTTCTCTAAGCAGTTTAGGGAACAGCTATTCTGAAATCAGAAATAAACCATGATAAATGGTGAGTGGATCAAAAATTTAGCTTTCAAATATTTCATTAAAAAAATGTAGCAATATGGGAAAATATGACTTAACTGTATGTGTTGAAGAGGAAATGTTTACTAACATTGGAGATTGTTAAAAAGGGAAAAATATGTACTAAATCATGTTTTAGGCAAATAGCAAGGCTCATGTATATCTTAATGTCACAGAAGTTACCAAAACATTACATACCTCAGCATTTGAAATTTTTCTTGTAGTAAAATCATGAATACAGTCTTTAAAACACATCTGTGTAATTTTATTATATGCTCCAATAAACTCTTTAAACTGAAAATAAAAACACCGCAATATTAGTTCAGCTTGGAGTGAAACAAATAAATTAAATATCTGTATTTTACTAACACAAAAAGGGGCTTACTTATTTCTAGAAATACCACATATATTCTTTAATTAGATAGAGATATTGCCCAAAATCACTTCTCAAAAAATGAACAAGAGAATTGTTTGTAAAACACTTATGCCCCCCTCTCCCATATAACTTGGATTTATTTTTTTAGGACATACATCTGTCAAAAATGGCTTGGTCATACCCAAAACAGAACTTGAGCTAGATATTCCTATGATAAATCTGTATACTAAATTTCATTTCAGTATGTGCAACCTCTGAAAAGAAAATGAACGGAAACTGTTCTTTAAAATTTCTTGGTCCAAGGGGCATAACTCTGTCAAAAATGGCTTGATCGTACCCAAAACAAAACTTGACCAAGATATTCTTATGACAGTCTTCACGAAAAAGAAAAATTGTCACAGGACATTCGGACAGACAGTTAACACAATTTTACAGGACCAAACAAATTTTTACCAGTCCAATACTTTTATCATATAATGATCATAACGAAGTTACTTCATAGCATTTGAATCAATCAACAGATACCACATTAAAAGATTAACTGAAATGTTTCTTTTTCTTTCCTGGTACTGTTCCATCGAAATATTTTAGAGACATCGTGGCGGAAGTAGATTTTAAAACAATCACAATCAACAAAACATTTTTAATAATGTGTTTTGGTATTAGTTAATTAAAGCATCTATATGATGAAATAGGAAATATATATAATTAAAAACCTGACCAAAACAAACTTCGGACAAACGGACCGATTTTACTAGTCAGTACATCGGACCAATAAGATTTTCACCTGTTTTGTCCGACGGACCGGTGCTTTTGGGATAGACTGTTATGATAAATCTATATACTAAATTACATTTCAGTATGTGCAATGGTTATGAAGAAAATGAATGGAAACTTGGTGGAGCGACCGACAGACAGTAGCAAAGCAATATGCCCTCCCTCCTTCCAAATTGGGGGGGGGGGGGGGGGGTAAAAAAAATGAGAGAAATTTCACACATCATTGTTATACTTATTTTTTGCATACATACAAACTTGCTATTCAAAATTTTACTAATTATATCACAAAGGCACTGCAAAAGTAAACGTCAATCTCTTTATAAGTTATTACTTCTGTTGTGAAAATACTAACACATACTCATAAGAGCATTACTATATATCCTCCAACTTTGTTGCCATGGAATAGTATTTAAGCATATTTATAATAGATACTCTAACAAGTAGCTAACCTGCTTAACTGCAGCCTCAGGATCTATTTCTTGTGTTTCTTGTGTTGCCATGCTCTATATATTTATCTGAAAAAAAAATGTTTTGTAAAACACTTGATGCCCCCGGCCTATATGACAGTTCATGGCAAAGATTACAGTATCTTAAATGCAAGTCAAACTCTAAGGTCATGCAAGCAAAAATAAAGATACCCACAGGTGTGGCCACAAAGACAACACTTATAAAATATAAGAAAGCCATAATACCAACCATTCAAAAAAATTATGACCAGGTCATATGTTAATTGCCCAAAGAAATGTCTTATTACAAGAAACACATTTTGTAAAATCTGAAAGCCCCAGCACTATCTGTTCAAAAGACGTAGCCAAGCTTAAAGATTTCTAAAAATATGTTGAACTCCAAGGTCAAAATTGTTGGTATACCTGAGGGAATGTCTTTCTTATTGTTTATATAAAAAAAAAACAAAAACAAAAACAAAAAACACTAGCAACAACTTTTCTAAAGGTTAATGGCCAAAGTTAAATATTATTTTAAAAGCAAGTGAGTCTCTAAAGTCAAGGCCAAAAAGTAAAAAATTGTACCCTAGGAAAGTTATGTCATCGATCGTTGGCTACCCATGACTCCATCATCACCAGGTGATAGGTAAACAACAAGATCACATGTGGGTATCCAACGAGGAAGAACGGTCTTATTACAATTTTTTAGAATACAAAAATGCAAAGTATGAAAGCTATACCACCAACCACTCAAAAGTGCCATAAGGACAAGGTTAAAGTTAAGTAAAATTTTGCATAATATGAACAGTTCCCTGGTATATTCATTCAGATAACTCATTCCTTGACCTTGGAGTTTTATTTGCATTTTACTTTAAAAACTTTAACATTCACAAAAAAACCCCTCCCAAATGTGAATACCAGTGTTTCATAAACACATCATGCTTAAAACTTGGATACCTTCATTGAACAAATTCGAAATGACATTGAATGATTTATAAACATTTTCCGTGAGTTACAAAATATTTCGGTTCAAACCAGATTGTTTTAACTATTGTCATAAAATTGTGATCACAATAAGTCAAATCACTGTAAGAACATCCAAAATGCAACGGCATGTGTTTGTTTACCTTCCCACGTGGGTGCTTTTGACAAGTTTCAACATATACTTCTTCTATCGTAAATGATTCAAAGAAAACCTAAATCCAATAAAATAAATTTTGATTGGATAATCTATATTTACATTTCATAAAAGTAGAAATATATTAAGAATTACAAAATCTATACATGTAAAATTGATGAATTATATATCTTTTAAATAAATATATGAAATTAATTATAAAAATGTAAATAATTTTACTAAAACATTATTTATCAACATTTTACGACAAGCATGAACTAGAAAATGCACCAATGAAAATTCTCGTTCTATTCGAAACTCAAGAAATATTTTTGTTGACGATATGAATGCAGCGGGTGTAACAAAATAGTTTTGATAGAAAAATACCAAGAAAACGTAGCGTATCGCGTATAATAATTATGAAGATGTGATGGATAAGTATTAATGAAAATGTAAAGTGTTACAAGAAAATCACGCAAGTAAGTGCATTTCGCAGTGTAGCAATATGCATTCGAATTTCCTCACTTGTGAAATGCACTGTGAATAGAAGAAATGGAGGGTATGCTTGAGTTGCTGTCAACGACAGACGCAGCAGTTAAGGCCTTAGATAGAACAAGCAGGTAAGTGCTTCAAGCTAAATATGCTTAGTGGTTTGTATAAGCTTAAAGTTGACATGATATGAGGTAATTCACTATATTTAAGGAGTGTAGCTTATTTAACAAAAAATGTAGGCCCACATTTTCAATGCCTATGTTATGTCTATCTTAATTATTTACAAAAACGGGGGTTGGGGGTGGGCTTAGCACCCTCTCTTTCAGTTATTTTGCCTATGCTATTTCCTATTACATTCAGCTAAAACATTGACGTCACATTTTTAGTAACCTTCTATGGCTCGTGTTTTTTGAATATCATATAGTTTCCAGGAGATCAGTAGCTCCCTGGTGGGAAAAAAATTGAGAGGGATCATTGTAACCAGGGAACATCAGTTAGAACTATATATAAAACACTTCTTCTCATATAAAAAGAGATTATTTTAAAAACTCTTATGTTAGTTTGTTGGTTATATTCCAGATCCCAATCATCAATAAGCAGCAGGTCATCATCAGGATCAAAGAAGAAGAGTGCATCAGAAGTACCAGACAGTGGAATTGGTCAAACTGAGGACAGATCTCAGAAATCTAAGGCATCTCACAGTAGAGATACTGATGAGCTAGATATATCTCAGCACAGCTCTGATGTCAGTACAACAGCCAGCGATGTATTGATCAGGTCCACTACAGCAGCACCGGGAGAGAAAAGTATCTTAGATGATGTAACTTTTCAGAGTGTTGATAATACAAGCAACATTTCAAAGTGTTCAAAATATTCCTATGGAAAAGAAAACTTCAACAGTTCTGGACCTGTTAAAGTGAAAGTGTCTTCTAAATTGCTGAGAGAAATTAAGTCTCCTTATGAAAGCCCAAGGGAGGAAACAAATACTGGAGAGGAATCCCCCAAAGTTCAGAATGTACAACCAGAGTTCAATCCAAGTAAATCAAAGGTACAGAGTAGCAGTATAGGGATACGCAAAATCTCAACAGAATCTAAGGCAAGTTCTAGAGGAGGAGATACTTCTAGATCACACAGTGGAGCTTCAGATGTTCATAAACCATCTAGTCGACCAAACTCAGCAACTTCAAAGTCCTCCACTGTTAGCCAGCCTGGATCTATAGCTAAAGGACCTTCTTCAAAGTCACTAAAAGATTCAAAGACAGTTAGCGAGACTTCTGTATCAAAACCTGTAAGTAACAACCCCAAGGATATCATAACTCTACAAAGCACCCCACAGAGAAAACAGCCTGCTCAACCTCAGAAACCAAATACACCAGAAAAACGAAGGAAGACTGAAGGATTCTCTCAACCTGGTTTTGTAGACCGGCATACACCTGAAAAATTGTACAGAGACAAGAAAATTCTTCGTAACGAGGATGATGATACAGGCAGCTATATTGAAGAGTTCTGTAAAAAACCAACAGAAAGACAGGATGTGGTGCCAGAAAAATTAGGTATTATTATGAGTGAATTGTACAAAATTAAACATGTCTATCAGTTTATGAAAAACATTCAAAAAAAACAAATTCTTTTGTTCATATTTCAGAAATGTAAAACATCATTCCTAAAGTTACTTGCCTGTGTTTCAATGTCTCTTTTATCTGACCTATTTTTTTTCTGAGGAAAAAAAAATGTTGAATTATTCATTTTGTTTGTTTGTTTCCAAATAGTAACAGAATCAGTAGAGACCAGCATTAACAGTGCCACTAGTAGTCAACCAGAGATTGTCACCATACCCGAGAGGATTGTTACCATATCAACCAGGAGCTCAGTCTCCTCTGACCACTCACTCAGTGACTCGGGTCAGATCCTCACCGTCCAGGAGAGACTGGTCACGATCTCAGCAGGTCAGCCAATGGAGGACGAGGATTTTACTGTCAGTCACACTAAAGTGGAGGAGGAGGAAGAAAAAATCCCACCAAGACTGCCTGATAAATTCCATCAATATACCAAGGTAAGTCCTCAGGGAGCCTCATCTAACAAATACATCTGCTCAGGAAACTGGTTTATTTTTATTCTGTGTTGTTTTTTTTAAACCAGTTTATAAGTTTTTTTATCATTTACTATTAATTACTATCTTAAACCAATCTATCATCCCTAAAGGATTTAGTAATAAAAGATTATTCAGAGTCTGGAAATTCCTCAATAAATCATATTTAAATTGCATATTAATTTTGTAAAATTCTCCATTATCAAAAATCATAAAGTTTAACAATAGATTTGTAGTTTATGTATGTGTACCAAATATTCTTTCCTTCCATGAAGCACCAGAGTGGTGGGTTGAGGCAGGGATCAGAAAGCAGTGGAGTTTCTGTTATGGAGCATCCATCTGATTCAGATGACATCCATGTTGAAAAGTTCCGCTTGTCAGAAAAGCAACAGTTGATGAAAGAAAATTTTACCAAGAGGTAACATTAAGCAACAATTGATGAAAGAAAATTTTACGAAGAGGTAACATCTTCAAGAAATAATACAAGAAGAACTTAGAATAAACCATTTACTTTGTGTATTACTATAAAAATTCAAAATATTAAAAATTTGAAAGAGCATGGAGAAAAATGAAATCTTAAAAAAATTCCTGTTCATGTGAATTTTATATGTTCATCAATTTTTTGATATTAAGGTTGCAAGGGGGTCCTAAAAAGAGGGTTGTTCAGCCTAGACTTATTGGTCCAGCTGCCAAGTCAACAAAGAAGGAAACTAAGGAGCCAACTATCCAGAACACAGAGGCCATTACTGCTGCAGTGGCTGCTAGTGCCGCAATAGCTGCCACACAACCATTTCTTAAGGTATAGCTGTAGGACCTAGTGGAAAATAGCACTGAATGATTTTAAATGATAAAAAAAGATCTTACTTGAAATTTTTTACTTAGTATTGAATTCATAATATATCATATATTTTGGAATTTCCTTTCATTCTACTGTGACAATGTGTTAGTCTGTATACATAGGTATTTTGATTATCAGCAAGCACCTCTACGACTGGAAAAAGCTTGCTTTTGATATACACTTTTATGATCAATGATGAAGATAAATATACATATTTGCTGTTTTTAAAAAAAAACGTGTTTAATGTTAGGCACAACAAGAACTAGAGAACAAAATGACCAGCATTCTGAATCAGATAGGCAGTCTCCAGTCTGACGTGGCCCCTCCACTGAAGGGGGATACAGAATCTGAGAGGGTAGCCCAGCTGGAGAAACAGCTGGCCAAGGTCACAGAGCAGAGAATACAACATCTAGAGAAGTTACAAGAACAACAGGTGGCCATGCAGGTATTTTATGTTCAACCTTGCAGGGTTACATGACTCCTACCTTTTGGAGAATTTTCAGTAGTTTGGCCATTTTTAGTCAGAACAGAGCAACCAAACAATTTGTTAAAGATGGCCTTAGTCATATATTGATGTCCATGTGGACAGAACTAACTTTTACATCTAACTGCTAAGGTATACAATTATAGTTATTTGAACTCTTGGGTAAATGTGTATGTTTTTTTTTAAAATAGCAATTAGCATTTCAGATTCACCTCATTATTAATTGAAAACAGATAATATAACAAGATCCTCAACAAGTTAATTTTCTGTTATCAGTATTCATCAGAGCTGTAATGTAAATGTGTATAAAAGGTTTAGATTCATAATAAACCTTTTAATACACCTTTTATTCTTTTAAAATTATTCATTAACTTTTACTGTTACAGGCAAAATTGTTATCGTTATCAAGAACACCACAAAATCGAACTGAAGTTCCCAGATCTAAATCACCAACAATAAGGTCTCCTTCATGGAGTCCACCTGTCCAGAGGAAGAAAGAATTTCCACCAAAACCAATCATAAAGACGACGGTCCCAAAACCTGGTCACGGGGATTACAACCAGGAGCAGTTCCGGGATCACAGATCCCCCGAGACCCCCAAACCCAGGACCAACCCTCCCAAACCTCTGTCTTTTGAATTCCGAAACAAGAAACAACCATCAAGTAAAGTATTTCTGACTTTGTCTGTAATATGTGTATATTTTCTTGTACTTCTCTATTTATGTGTACTTAAATTTATGCTTCAGGTGTTTAACATTTTAGAATTATGATTCATCAAAACTTTATATTAAATTAGTCAAGGTGAATTTAACCCTTACTATATTTCAAGAATTGATAGTTTCTAAATTAATTGGATATTGGTGTCATTTTCAAAATATTTTTTAGTCACCATTGACTAGTAAAAATGGCCAATAGCAAGTCTGTCCAAAAATGGGCCTGAAAAATTCAACTGATGTATAAATAGATCAACTTATAGGCGAGACAGCATTGTGGATTTTTTTAGGACAAATCTTGATATTTCCTTGAAAGAAATCATTCATGAGGATTTATTTTGTGGTAGTTCAAAAATTCAAAGACACATGCATTGCCAGAAGAATGGCATATCTTTTCAAAAATGTTTGCTTGATGATAATTGCAAAACTTTAGAAATCACAAAATTTTCACCTTGAAACAGAAATCCTCCAGCATCGGGGAAGCCTTCGTTAACCTGACAACTCTCAGCTCAAAAACTTAAGAGTTCTTAGAGAAATTGTTTGAAGTGGCCATGAAAAATATTCAATGTGCAATGACATCTCTTCTTACGTGATTGTAATCTTTATCAACAATTAAAGAGGGAGTCAACTTCTGAATTAAAGTATACCAGAATTTGGCTCTATGCTAGCATTTCACTCCACGGTATTGCAAAAATCTGGATGTTCATTTTTAAAAGAACCTCAATTTTGGATAAAAGCTTTAAAAATTATAAATTGTTGATAAACACTGGGTTATTCTACGTGTTTGCAGGGGATTCCATAAAACAATAACATACTATTTACCAGTGTTTTTCTGTTTTTCATAGCCTTGATTTTGTTTATTAGTCAACAAATATGTAGTTTAAATATTCTTGTTCTACATGTATAAGCTAATCAAATTAAATGTATTATTAGCACTTTAATGTCAAATCATAAGACATTTTTTTCAAAACAGATTGACAATTTTATAATCATTGTTAATTGTATGAAATATTTATATTTTTTTGTTGATATGAAATATAAGAAGGTCATACAAACAAATATTTGTCTGATTTTACAGACAAAATTATTGACAATTTACTTATGGAATTACATATGAATTTTTCAAATGGAGCATATGTTTATTCAGTTAAATACAGAATTTTGATATTTGAAATAAGATGATACTTTAAAGTTGTTCACATGTTTACTGATAAAATTGATGACTTTTTCTATTTATTCAATGATGATTGGTGTCACTTATTGCCCATACTTAGAACTGAATCTCTGTTTGCTGGAATTGTGGTTGTTGTTCTCTTACCATGTATGGATATGCAGGAATAGTTTTTACTTCAATTATTTTTTTAATGATTTGCATGCTAAGTTTTAGCAGATCAATTTAGACTTGATAATTAATTGTACCATTATTTAACCCTAGTACATCTAGAAATATTTTGTTTGTTATTCTGCCAGACATACTTGTTTACAGTATTACTTGAAATGAGAAAGTTGAAAGTTTAACTTTGGTATCCTTTTTTTGCAGCTCGAGGGATACTGGAGGAAATCTTGGCATCTGATGCATCCCCTCGCCGTGACGTCCCAGAGCCCACCAAATACGAAGACAAAGACAAGTAAGTAGTGAAGGGAAAAATGACAAATGTCAAAATAAATCATGTAAATAGGGAGAAAGTCAGACTTCCTCACGAGTATAAAGAGTATAAAAAAAAAATTAAAAAAGACATAAAGCCCAACTTACGGAGAGTTGGGAATTCAGACAAGCAGAAAATGTGAAGGAAGCACAACTCAAATAAAATATAAAGTTTGATGTCAATTTCCAACACAGCCAATCACAATTTCTGGCTTGCAAGAATTAAATAGAGGAGTAAATATTTCAAGTGATTTATACACATTAAAATCCTGTTTCTGATCTGATATTTTTTTTTATCTTTGAATTTATGATGATATGAAAAATAGTGTTTGTAACATCACTATAAGCATGTTTCAGTTATAACATGGGTAGGATGTGTATAAAACATCCTCATTTTATCTGTTTGGAAGTACATATAGGTGACTTTTCTTCTCTATATATATGCAGATGAACTGAGTTTTAGAGTGTGGGTTTAAGATAATGTATTACAGACTGATTTTTTCTTCGATGAGTGCACTTTTAATTAAATTACTGCCTTTAAGGAGATTTGCAACAAGACGTACAAAGTACCTATAGCTTTAAATATATAAATTTCATACTGGATATGTTAATTTAGAACTTAGAGTTTATGTTCTTATGATCAAAATGAAGAGATATATACCTATGAGTGAATTTTTAGCTCTACTGGTCAGAGACCAGAAGAGCTTATGTGATAGTAATGCGTCCGTCGTCCGTCCGTCTGTCTGTCTGTCTGTCTGTCTAAACAATTTTTCAAAATGCTACTCCTCCTACAGTTTTGGTTTGATTTCAATATAACTTGGCACACAAGTAGACTACACTAAGATACATAATTCTGTGCATCGGTTTTTGATTTTGATTAACGGTGTTGCCATGGTTACTAAAAATAGAAATTTCTGTGAATTTTCTTCAAAATGCTACTCCTCCTACAGTTTTGGTCCGATTTCAATATAACTTGGCACACAAGTAGACTACACTAAGATACATAATTCTGTGCATCGGTTTTTGATTTCAATGAACGGTGTTGCCCTTGTTACTAAAAATAGAAATTTCTGTGAAATGCTTTCAAAATGCTACTTCTCCTACAGTTTTGGTCCGATTTCAATATAACTTGGCACACAAGTAGACTACACTAAGATACATAATTCTCTAGATCGGTTTTTGATTTCGATGAACGGTGTTGCCATGGTTACTAAAAATAGAAATTTCTGTGAAATGCTTTCAAAATGCTACTTCTCCTACAGTTTTAGTCCGATTTCAATATAACTTGGCACATAACTAGACTACACTAAGATACATAATTCTGTGCATAGGTTTTTGATTTTGATGAACGGTGTTGCCCTTGTTACTAAAATAGAAATTTCTGTGAAATGCTTTCAAAATGCTACTCCTCCTACAGTTTGGTCCGATTTCAGTATGACTTGGCACACAAATAGACTATACTAAGATACATAATTCTGTGCATTGGTTTTTATTTTGATGAGCGGCAAGGATAATTTCTCTATTTATTGCTGTAAAAACCAGTAGAGCTACAGTCTCTACAGAGACTTCTGGTTTTAAATTGTGAAAAACAAAACTTTTCTGCAAAATATTCTTTTTGCAAAATTTTTATCATACACTGTACTTTTATAAAAATGTGTGTATTCTTAGGGTTGTTCAAACCCAAGCAATAAAATTTTTTTTTTCTTAGAAACTCACATATTAAACCACTACACCACAGAAATATGACAGAAACATACTCGCTTCAGTCATGTTAAATATGGCTCTTTATAAAGCTGATTTCAAATATTTCTCAGAAAAATGTGAATGTTCATTGTCATTAAAGTGTATTAAATTTTTATGGTATAAGGTCTTTTATCCATGATTTGTTATACAGAAAAATGAACATTTTTTAATGTATACTTTGAGGATACATTTGAAAAAAATGAAATGAAGAATCAGTCAAATTAGATTTCTCTAGAGCTCATTATTATTTTATAAATCTGAATACAGGTAATTGAATGGACCATAAGATATTGGCAACAGTAAATGGTGTTATGTATCTTCATATGAATGAATGATTCCAATCAATGGATTATACTCAATTTTACTAGTATATTTTACAACCTCAGATAGATTGTTAGAAAGCATCCATTTCATTACTTGAGATGTAAGGAACACAAGTATGAGATAAGCTTGTTTATCTCCTAGTAACCCACTAAATTATCTCCTCATTGAATGGGACAATAACATTGAAATATATACAAATTAATTGATTCTGTTCTTATGGAAATGGTATATTAAAAGAGTTTAAGTGAGATGTAAAAAACGAAGCCTGTTTACTTCCTGGTTCAAGAAAACATGGGAGATAACACAAACCCAAAACTTTTCAAAACATTGTCCTTTGAACAGAATTTTGTATAAATATTAAAAAGATAAGTTAGGAGAAAAATCTAAATGACTGAAAGGACAGAAAAGTACTAAGCTCTGTTACACAGAATACATGAGTATATTAATTTTCTTTGAGAATTAATTTACAAAAAAAAAAAAAAATAAAAGCTGCAATTTTTCATGAATAAGGGTATGTTCATGATTTATAGGTGTATAATTATACTATACAATGGAATTAAATCGTTATTTAAAAAAAAAAAACAAAGAATCACGAGAATGTGGATTGAGAGAGTGTTGATACACTTAACAAAAAGTGGGAATTTGAGTATTTGCATTAACACTAAAATTATTGATTAGTAGACATATCTACGGAAGCCCATTAGTGCCAACCTGTATATATAAAGGAAAAGCGATATATAAAAGCAAACCTCTATATATAAAGAAAATGCGATATATATAAAGAAAACCTCGATATATATAAAGAAAACCTCGATATATATAAAGGAAATGCGATATATATAAAGAAAACCTCGATATATATAAAGGAAATGCGATATATATAAACAAAACTTCGATATATATAAAGAGAAAATTTTCCACTGCCTGACCTTTAACATGTTTAATGAGCTACATTACATCGCCAACATATGATAAGCAACTCCCGGTCCAATGTTTTGATTTCAATCAGTTGGTTTTGCCGTTTCAGGATGGTATTCAGCGTGTTGTGTTTTCTTCCTTTGTGTATCTTGATAATTATGACAATTAAATCTAAAGCTTAAACACTCTGTTCTCCTTACATTTCAGACGTGTTGGGCAGAATTACACCAATGAGTGATTTTTCGGCTTAAAATGTATATTACATAGCACTAAATGTTGGGAGTCTTTTTCAATCGAAATATAATTTTCGGTGCAAAAATACAGATGTGTTTTATCATTTTTTATAAGTTCTTTAACGTTTTACTATGTTTTTACATGATGTAGATTTTCAAATCGATTTAATTTACAATGTGGGACAAAAATCCGCAGTTTAATTATGTAAATGTGCATGCACTGACTCGTTTCTTTTTATCTTTTAACAAATACTTTATTTTTTTCACACCAAAAGACCCTTAAATTATTACATACTAGTATACGGTAAAAGTACATGTCGCTTTCTTCCCTCATATTCAAATGCACTGGGTACCTTCATCTCTCCCCTCCCGATTCTTTTTTTTCTTTTTTTTTCAATCAATGGGCGTACTCGTAAATTATTTTTATAATGAATTTAAATAAATTTGAATTAGGGCATTAAAAAAGTTCTTGTTAAGACCCCACCTTTAACATTATATTTTCATAAATTCTCGATTGTGAAACCAAAGTTAGTAAGTTTGGTGAAAAAAAAAACAAGGTAGGTTGTAAAAAAACGAAGTTAATCAAAATACATGTAAAGCCAATAAAACACAGAAAATACAATACATATGTTACATTAAAACATGTAAAAGTTTAAATCTAAAGTTTAAACTTATCTGTAACTATCTAGATAAGTTTAAACTTTAGATTTAAACTTTTAATGTAACGCATATACTTAATTATGAATGCATTTAAATAAATGTTCTTCTTCTCAATTAAGTGCATTATTTTAAGTAATGTTGATATATGCATGTACAAACAAATAAACACTATTAAATAGCAACATTTTTCCGATTCTGGGAAAGTTCTGAGTACTGTATAACTGATTTCCCCCTGCCAGGAGTTAATCTGTATATAATCTTGATGGACAGCTGAGTGCTACAGGTCACGCAGTGGAAAAATTTCTCTTTATATATATCACATTTCTCTTTATGTATATCGAGGTTTTGTTTATAATATATATATCGCTTTTCTCTTTTTATATATCGAGGTTTTGTTTATATATATCACATTTCCTTTATAGATATCCAGGTTTCGTTTATATATATCGCATTTCCTTTATATATATCCAGGTTTTGTTTATATATATTGTATTTCCTTTATATATCGAGGTTTGCTTTTATATATTGCATTTCCTTTATATATAGAGGTTGGCACTAATGGGCTTCCGTACATATCGGGTTATTTTTCTGATAAATAGCAGTGAAAAGGAAGTTTAGTATTAACATTCCTCAGTAAACAAGCTCTTCTTTTTAAGGAGATAAAATCTGATTAATAGGCATAACTCAACATCACCTTAAACTGACATTTAATCTAAGATAAGAATATTAGTATAATCATATAGATCACCATGGGCTTATTTGGTAGAATCCTACAATTAACAGCTGATTTGTATGTCATCTGTATCATGCTGTACATCACTCTGTCACCCCCAGACAGCGATTAGTGTCGGTACACGCCCACCTGGAGACGGTAAAGCTGCTGGTATTGTCTCCTGGCAGGTTTCCTGTGTCTCAGAATTCACCCTGACAGGAATCACGTAGGCAGCTGTTAAAATGTAAAACAATTCCTATAGAGAGGTGCATGTTTCTGAGTCCTTAGTGTGATTATATTTATATAACTAGGATATTCTGATCAGGGAAAAAGGATTGATACATCTGTACGTGTCATAGAAGACCAAGTATAGTAAATTATTGGCTTTGCGAGTAAAGGAAATTTTCAACAAGCTATCGGTATTTAAAAAAAACACACAAACACAAGAAATAAAGAAATAAAAATCCATATTGAAAGAATTGTACATGTGTTACTGTAAACATAATATAGTGGTAAGTATGTTCCATAGGCACTTGTTTTGGTAAAAATTGTTTTAATTAACCCATAGTATAATAATAACACACAGCATCCAACTCCAAATTACATGGAGTACCGCCCTTCCCAAAATTACACTCATTTACATACACTCATTTACACTTTCAGAGGAGATGCTCGGACAGTGTTTTTTACCATTGTGTTTTTAGGATATTTTATCTACACAACCATATGCATGCTTGTCTTTATTTTCTTTTATCTCCATAAACTGCATCAAAACTCTGCTTGACATGTGGAAAAGTGGAATTACACCCGTTAAAAACTAAAATATATAGACAACACAAGCAGAAAACAGACATTGGACACTCTCTGATCAGAAATGTTCACCTGAGCCTTAATATGGCTCTGAGTGATTTAAAATGAGATCAATTATACAATATGACATAGATTGTAAATTACCAAATAAGTATCCACTATCCAACAGAATTCAAATTAAACTGCATATGTTTAAATAGGGAGATGTTCTTGAATGGGAATTTTCCTTTGAAGAATATAAATAATTATTAATTAGTAAAGAATCAATATAATACAGACTGCCCATCATTTTTATCTTTTTATCAAACTTCATATGCTGATACATATTGATGAGAGCTTTTCAACTGCATCAACATTTTTTTTTACCTTGACTAGTTCAGTTTAAAGAAACCATTCAAGATAGTATAATCAAACTTCATATGCTGATGATAAACATGTACTAGCTATTCAACTGCATCAACAATTTTTTTTTTACTTAGACTTTTACTTTTACCTTGTCTTCAGTTTTCTTTAAAAAGTATTTAGCTCAGTTAAAAAAGTTAAAAGATTGGTGAAATCAAACTTCTTTTTTTGTTACACGCTGATGTTAGCTTTTCAACTACATCAACATTTTTTATCTTTAACCTTGACCTCACTCTTCAATATTAGTATATAACTCAATTTTTAATAAATGTTCAAGATAGTATTATCAAACTTCATATGTTGATACAAACCAAAATAGGCTATTCAATTGCATCAACTTTTTTTTTACCTTGACCTTTCCTTGGACCTTGACCTCACTTTTCTTAAATAAGAATTTAGCCCAGTTTTTAGAAAAATCATCCAAGATAGTGAAATCAAACTTCATATGCTGATACATTATTACTGTACTCTATTCAACTACATCAACATTTTTTAACCTTAACCTTTCTTTTAACACTTTTCTTAAATTTAAGTTTAGCTCAGTTTTAAAGAAACCATTGATTCAGAAGATATTTTTATCAAACTTCATATGCTGATACATATGATGTAAGCTATTCAATTGCATCAAAATTAGGTAAAAAATAAAGAACTCTGTATACTTTTAAGAGCTTGTAGAAGGTAAATGAATTTTTGTATAACCATATTTACTGTGTACATTATTGGGTTATGTCAGAGACCATGGAAAAGCCCAGTGTCTTAATAAACTTTGCTGGGCCATAAGATTCTATCATTCTTTTCAGACCAAATTTTGTTTGCCATCTGTCTGGCATCTAGCATAAATCTGTCATCTGTAAAATTTACAGTCTGACATCTTCCTCAGAAGCAACCTACCAGCCTCAATCAAAATTATCCAAAAGCATTAGGAGCACATTTCTCCCCAAAGGCAGAATAACTATAGAGATAATTAAATAACTATAGTCTTTGTCACTGGAGTAAACAAACAAAAAGGCAACAATTTATCCATATCATATATAATATAATATAGTGTGTTGGAAAATGTTTGAAACTGTTTTTTCTTTAGAGACAAGGATACATATAGAAAATTCAATGTTGTTTTGTTGGATATAGAATTTATTTCATGTTGGGATATCAATTCTAAAACATTGATTTTTTTGTTTGTTATATTTACGTTGATTTTCTTTTTGCTTCACATTTTAATAAACTATAGCATCAAACATTGAAGGTTGTGACATGTCATAGCAGTAAATATGGATATTAATAATATTTTGATGAAAATATCAGTTTTAGTCTGTCTCATAATCCTTTCTATACTCTTTGCTATCCTATATATAAAAGAGTACTTTTTTCATAAGTGCTATTCATGAAGTGGATGAAAATCTCAAGTTCCACAGTCCTTCTCTGAAAAAGTAAATTGCTTCAAAATTTGTTTTAAAAAGTCATCAAATACAAATGACTATAAACAGATGAAATCAATTTTTGGGGGGGGGGGGTGGTGGAATTAATCAATTCATTTATTTACACATAGTCTAAGATTGAGGAATTTGTCAATAAAAGAAAAGCAGCTATTTTTTTTTCAGAAAATAATACAGATTGAATAATCATATATTTCTGAAAATATTTTTAATTTCTATAATTCAAAGGAATGTAATTGACTGCTTTACATAAAATGGCATTAACTCTTGCAAATAATTGATGTAAAAATCAATTTATTGCATAAGTTCTCATTTTCCACATTTCTGTCAGCATTACAGCATTGCTAGGATGCAGATGCTATCTTGAAATTTCTAGAATTCTACAACAAAAGACACTAAATGAGACCTTGCCTAGTGTATACACTACAATGGCTTCCTGCTATTAATAGGGTACTTGGTCTGACATGGTATAATGAGTACAAGGCATTTTCTGGAAAAATGTTTATCAGTTCACAAAAAAGCAAGTGAGTACTTTTGTACTGGTATGTAGTATTGCATAAATTCAGTTCTTGGAAATCCATACAAATAATTCTTTCTTAATTCATTATTAAATACACTGACAGAAATATTATGATATTTTTTTCAGTTTTCTGTGTACAGTTTCTTGAAAATTTGTCACATTTTTTAAAACACAATTTTCTGGGACACCCCCTTCCTCCATAGAATAAATATACTCTCTGTTCTGTTGTAAAAGTATGTTATTTATACACCATTTATCCATTTCCTTGTACATGTGTGGGTGGTTATGATTTATATTGTCATGGCTTTTTGTCTGCGGAGTCCAGTTGTGATCCCCCTATTTTTACGATAATGATTTCTCCTTTCCATGACTTCTTCACCCTTGGCATTTCATCCTCGTTAATCCTAGCTAGTAATTGACAGAAGGCATGACTAACCATTCTTATTTGCAGTTAATACTTTTTTTTCTTTTTTAAACGTGTTTTTTCATCTCATGTGGTTCAAGCATTACTATTGACTAAGTCTCAGAATACCATTTACGTGGGTTGATCCAAAAGTTGTGTCACAACTACTTAAAAAAAGAACTTAATATAGTAATCTTTTGGCGTATTTTTGACATTTGCTTTGAAGTTTCTTTCAGATATATGCAATACTTTTAAAAATATTAGAAACACAATGTAAGGTCCCTCCTATGCAAGAATGTGCCAACTTCGTTTAATATGACGTTTATATATAATTTCAATATTACAAAGTCTCAAAACAAGACCTTATAGCAAAATGTCTGTCAGGGTAATGAAAAAGAAACACTGTAGAGGATAAAAAGGACATAAAAGGTATGGGATGGGCGGTCAACATTACCGCTACATCGCCAAAAATTTCAACTCATTACCGCTACATTTTTTCAAATTTTCGACCGATCATTACCGCTACATTTTTTTGGCCGAAAACAACTCATTACCGCTACATATTGAACAAGCCAGGTATGGTACAGAATATGATTTCCAATCAACAGAATTCACTCACTATATAGTTGAGTACAATTTCGATTTGAATTCTAATCAGAAGAATGTGAAGATTGTGGGTTTTATCTATGAGCAGTGCTTGATTTTATTTTTAAAACTTTTAAAGTGGTTTATGAAATAAAATTAGATTTTTAATATAAAAGAAAGTAAAACATCCTGCTCAAAGTCTTATTTTTATCTCCCAGAGCAGAGGAAACCAGACTTATACTTGTATAATATGTTGTACATGTACTTTACACATATAAGCGGCTGGCTAACGAAAGAGACAATGTAGCGGTAATGTAAACTGTTATATGTAGCGGTAATGTAACGTTTTTTGTAGTGGTAATGACTATGTAGCGGTAATGAAAATTTCGAAAATGTAGTGGTAATGATACGCACCCATGTGGATGAAGTGAAAATTTGTTTCGAAAGTGACATATATAAAGTTGGTAAAATTCGTGCCGGGCGACGATAGACAAAACCCTGAAGGTTGTGCTAATATTTGAAAAGGTTTTTTTTTATTGAATAAATTTTAAAGCGAAAATCAAAATAGATAGGCATATTAATATATATCATTTAATTATTTAAAGATTTAATTTATAGCAGCTATTAAGACATTACTTTTGGACATTACTTTTACTTTTCGTAATATCCATGATTCACTGGAGTTTGTGATTACAAGAAAATAAAAATTAAATGTTATCACTTCACAGTGATTCGAAATCGGTATTGTTCTAATGGCTTATTAGTATATATGGATGTATAGTGTAAAGAACATCTCATATGATTGATTTAAAAGACAAACGAACAGAAAGATTTTTACATGCAGTATTTATGCCGTTTTCAAGTTTCAACAGTTTTATCAGAAATAACTACATTCTTGCTAACCCCCCCCCAACCCCCGCCCCCCAAAAAATAATAATAATAATAATAATAAAGCAATAAAAATAAACTCCAAAAATTAAACTGTTGTGTTGTAGGCAAGTTTCATTAGTGTAATAAAAAAGGTTATGTCTACTACCACTGAATATCAGTTTTTATAAGCTTCATATTCTTGCCTTG